TGAAAAATATATCAAAAATGCATGTGGGCACTCAACTGAAAGCTCTTGATGAGTGTAACATCGGGATGAGCTTATATCTTTAAAAACGTCAATAGTTAAGAAAGTACAGTGTAATTTAACAAGTAATTAATTTAATAAAGCAAAATTTTATTTATTCATAGTTCACAAGTCACGGCAGTCACATAGTGACTGCAAGGTTGCTATTTAATCTTATTAAAAAAAATTTTTAATTATTTACAGAATGGAGTTATCCGTGGAATGTTATTAGCACAGCGATATTTAGGAATAGATAAAGGAGGTCGGGGAGGTATTGTGATAAACACAGGCAGCAACGTCAGTCTGAACCCGTACGTCAGTGTCCCAATTTATTCAGCAACCAAGGCGGCGATTGTCAGCTTGACCCGAGCTTTTGGTGACAAGTATCACGTGGACTTGACTGGCGTGAAGGTGATGTCTTTGTGTCCCAGCGCGACTGACAGCAATCTTGTCCGCGATGTTGGAAAGCAATTGCTTAGTCCCAGATACGAGGACGCTTGGCGACGTGACACCGCCTCTTGCATCCCTCAGAAGTATATTTAAAAATTTTTAATTTTGTATATAAAATTTATGAATTTTTTGTTATTAATACAATTTATATATTTTTTTTTATTAATAAAATTTATATATTTTTTTTTTATTAATAAAATTTATATATTTTTTTTTATTAATAAAATTTATATTATTTTTTTTATTAATAAAATTTATATTATTTCTAGAGCCGAACATGTGAGTAAAGCACTGGTACACGTGCTGGCAAACGGAAAAAGCGGAAGCGTCTGGCTGGTAGAAAATGGACAGCCAGTGCGCGAAGTAGTCTTCCCGAAGCACTAGAGACCTTGAGAAGAACAAATAAGGCTTAAATAATTCAAGTACAATTATTGGAACAAAGTATAAGAAAAATTTGATAAAAATTTTGGAGACCTCGCTTTACCTGCTGAATAATTCCTGCCGTTTTTTACACCGTCGAAATTTTTTAACGAAAGTAAGCGATTATTATCCGGCCAAAGAAACTCTTGCTCTTTTATTATCAGCATTCGCTATTTCATTGGTATTTTTCGATCTTTAATACTTATTTATAATAATAAGTAATAAAATAAATAACAAGTGATTTATTAATATAAATATTAAAAGTAACCAAGGTGCAAAATTAGAGGAAATAAAAATTAATAAAATAAAGTTACTCGCGGCTATAACCAAGTAAGTGGGCTCTAAGTCCAAGTTAATTTGAAGAAAGTTACGAGTCTATAGTCGACAAGATTGTAACTCTTGTTAATATAAATAATATAATAAACTGCCGCTATTTATATCAACTTTATATCATTCATATATTAATATTTAAAATTAAAATTTAAACTTGCGTTTTTTTAGTAAAAATTTTTTATACAATGTTATTATTGTACATTATATCTAGTCAATCAAGTAGTTTAAATTAATTGTTGGCTCGATATTTATCTAATGATTAATTATAACTACTTTTTATTATCATTTGCTCGGTTTGTATGCGTATAAATAAAATTGCTCTAGCTTTGTTTCTTAAAACAATGTCTAAATTTTTCCATCTCCTTTTTTTTTGGAAAATATAAAATTTTTTAAAATTCCATTTATCCAGAAAATATTTTTTATTGGTACACTTGTAAAAATTTTTGATTACAAACATATTAGAAAAAATTTTTTTTTGGAAGGTTTAAATTTCTGGAACACGGATGGAAATTGTTTTGGTCTCCAGGTATCCTTCTAATCCATCTTCACCCCTAGTAAAATAATTTTATTTTATTTAGTAAGAAAATTAAATAAAAAAAAAAAAATTTTTTTTTTAAATCAACTTACAGCTCACGACCGATTCCTGATTTTTTGTACCCACCAAACGGAGTTTGTGGTGTGATAGCATCGTAACAATTAATCCTGGAATTAAAAATTTTTTAATAAAAATTCATAATAATTTATAAAATAAAATAATGTATAAAAAAAACATTATATTATCAGGATTATTTATTTATGATTATGATGATTTTTAATTTAGGAAAAATCTTAAAATAATAACAATAATAATAATAATAATAATAATAACTAGCAACCTTGCAGTCACTATGTGACTGCCATGACTTGTGAACTATAAATAAATAAAATTTTGCTTTATTAAATTAATGACTTTTGTGTAATTGCACTGTACTTTCTTAAATATTGACTTTCTTAAAAATATAAGCTCATCCCGATGTTGCACTCATCAAGACCTTTCATTTGAGTATCCACATGCATTTTCATATGTTTTCATATATACATATATATAATATATATAAATATATGAAAAATTGATGTGGGTACTCAAATGAAAGGTTTTAATGAGTGTAACATTGGGATGAGCTTATATCTTTAAAAATGTCAATATTTCACAAGATATTTGTTAAATTGCACTGTACTATCTTAACTATTGACATTTTCAAAGATATAAGCTCATCCCGATGTTACACTCACCAAGAGCTTTCATTTGAGTACCCACATGCATTTTGACATATTTTTCATACATACATATATATAATATATATATATATATAAATATATGAAAAATTGATGTAGGTACTCAAATGAAAGGTCTTAATGAGTGCAACACCGGGATGAGCTTATATCTTTAAAAATATCAATAGTTCACAAGATATAAGGTCATTTCTTAATTATGTATCTAAAGATGCATTTTCGAATGCAGCCTAAATACTTATCATCATAAAATGACTATTGATTAAAATGATATGAAAACTTAAAAAGGCACAACTCTATGTTAAGACTTTTCCAACGATACCAAATTTAACCATAAAAACCCATTTTATCATATAAATACTCTAGCCACAAAATTTTGCTTATTCTCTTAACAATATAGATGATAATAATAAAATTCTATTAAAGTAATTACCAAACAGATCCAGCTTCAACAGATTGACTAAATTGAAGCGCCTTATTAATATTATCAGTAATAACAGCAGCAGCAAGACCATAAGAAGTATTATTAGCTCTTTCAATAACTTCCTCCATAGTATCAAACTTAAGAATCGACTGAACAGGTCCAAAAATTTCTTCTTTGGCAATTCTCATCCCATCTTTAACATTAGAAAAAACAGTAGGCTTGATGAAGAACCCAACATTACCCTCGCGCTCGCCTCCACATTCGCAAACAGCGCCTTCATCTTTGCCACTCTTGATCAACCCCAAGACTTTGTCAAACATTTCCTGGTCAATTTGCGGCCCCTGGACGGTCTGGGGATTGAAAGGGTCTCCAACCTTCCTCGTCATGGCCAGCTCTTTGGCCACCTTAACAAACTGATCATAGATCTTGGAGTGGACAAAAGTCCTGGAACCAGCACAGCAAGATTGTCCGTGATTATCAAACAAGGCGTTGTAGGCAATTTGTGCTGCCTGGCGAATGTCTACGTCGTCGAAGATAACCACGGGACTCTTTCCACCCAGCTCTAAGCTGACATGCTTCAAATTGCTCTTAGCAGCCGCGGCCATTATTATGTGGCCTACTTCCGTAGAGCCGGTGAAGGCCACCTTGCGGATGTCCAAGTGCTCGGAGATGGCTGCTCCGGCAGTCGGGCCATACCCGGGGATGATATTGATCACCCCGGCAGGGAATCCAGCTTCTTTCACCAGAGATCCAATGTAGAGAGCTGTTAATGGAGTTTGCTCCGCGGGTTTCAAGACAATTGTACAACCTGCTGCTAATGCAGGTCCCCATTTCCAAGCTAACATTAAAATTGGGTAGTTCCATGGGATTATTTGGCCGACTACTCCAATTGGTTCTTTTCGGGTGACTGTAAACTTTCCACCGTCTGGAATAAATATATTATTTATTATTTTTAATGTTTTATTGTAATTTATTTTCTTTTTTTTTTTGGGAATTAAATTACCAGATGGAATAGTATTGCCATGAATTTTATCACACCAGCCAGCGTAGTATCTCAAAGTAGCAGCGCTTGCTTGGATATCTCCAACAGAGCTCTCGAAAGTTTTGCCGTTATCTAAAGTTTCAAGACTCGCCAGATAATTAATATCGCGCTCCATCAAATCTGCGAGCTAATAAAAATAATTTAATTAATACTAGCAATCACTATGTGACTGCCATGGCTTATGAAATATAAATAAATAAAATTTTGCTTTATTAAATAATGAATTTTGTTAAATTGCACTGTACTTTTTTAACTATTGACGTTTTTAAAGATATAAGCTCATCCCGATGTTACACTCATCAAGAGCTTTCATTTGAGTACCCACATGCATTTTGATACATTTTTAAACATTACTAGTAAGTCCGTATTTAAATTTATTATTAAGTATTTGCAGCTTAAACTGTTATTTTAAATCTATTTTTTTTGTTATATTTACAAACATATAATTTTGCGTTGCAATATTTTTTTTTTTTTTAATAAGACGATGATTATTTAAATTCATTGAGAGTTTAAGCGTTGAATTTATTCGTTGTAATTTTTCTAAAATTAATATTATTTAAATATCTATTTTAATATTAAAAAAAAAAATAATAAATAAAGAACCATTGTTTGAAAAATTGTATATTAATTTCTTTGACAATACATAGAAAGAATTTCGCACATTTGACAAATGATACTTTGTATTAAATAATTATTATTGAAAAAATTAATTTTATTCAAATAATTTTGGGTATAACAGCTTATATTAAATTAAAGAATTTTAATATAATTAAACTTGTTGCATCAAATTTTGAATTAGACACTTGCAAGCTTAATAGAAATAGTTTTTGTTTCCAAATAATTATCCAAAGCCTCTGGGCCACTAAAACATAATAAAAAATAAATTATGAATGAAAAAATAATATTATATTTAAAAAAATAAACAAACTTACGATTCACGGCCAATTCCAGATTGTTTATATCCTCCAAAAGGAGCTTGAAGAGTAGTATCAGCGTAATGATTAACCCAGACGCTTCCAGATTCAATGGCTTGAGCGAATTTGATAGCCTTGGTGATGTCATTGGTCAAAACACCGGCAGCAAGACCGTAAGTAGTTTGGTTTGCCCGCTCAATAACTTCTTCCAAGGTGTCAAATTTGAGAATCGACTGAACTGGTCCGAAGATTTCGTCTTTGGCGATCGTCATGTTATCAGTTACATTCACAAAAACTGTTGGCTGTAATTTAAATAATTTTTTTTTTTCAATTTAATGAAACTCAATTATACAAAAAATAAAATTAATATGAGAGAAGAAATTTACTTGGAGTGAAAATTAATTTAGCAGATTTTTGATAATAGAAAGAATTTTTTAACAAATTAATTAGAAAAAAAAAAAAAAATTAACATGTAGAAATTTTAAAAAATAAAAAATGCAATTTTTTAATGAAAATTAAATTAGCAGATATTTGACAAATTAAAAAAATTTTGTAACGAATAAATTATAGTGAAAAAAAAATAAGAAAAAAAAAATTGACATAAAAATTTAAAAAAGATTAAAAATGCAATTTTTTAATAATAATTTTTTGGAAAAAGTTTTTTTTGATAAACTAGCAATCACTTGATCATTTTTTAATTTTATTTACTTTGATAAAGTATCCTTTATTTCCTACGCGCTCGCCGCCAGTGACCAATTTCGCGCCTTCTTTTTTTCCTATTTCAATAAACTTGAGCGCCCGGTCAAATATTTCTTTTTCTACTTGAGGTCCTTGCTCTGTAGCCGGAACAAAGGGATTCCCTACTTTTCTTTTCAATGCCAAGTCCTTAGATTTTTCGACAAATTCATCGTAGATTTTTGAGTGAACGTAAGTTCGGGATGCTGCGATACAAACTTGAACGGAGTTGGCGAAAATTGCTTCGTGAGCTATTTTTACCGCTTCATCCACTACAAAGATATCAAAATAGCTTCAATTATTTGAACTCTAATTATCAATGATTATTCAAGTATATATTACAAATTTATTACTCACCATTAACATCATCAAAAATAACCAAAGGACTCTTCCCGCCAAGTTCCAAAGTCACGCGCTTCAAATTACTATTTCCCGAAGCCTTCATTATCAATTTCCCAACCTGGAAACAATCAAAGCACTTAAAAAAAATTCTAAACTGCAAGTAAACTTTCCCTAATTCAAGTCAAAAAATTCTCACCTCAACAGATCCAGTGAAAGAAATTTTAGCGACATCAGGATGTTCAGCCAGAGCGGCTCCTGCGGTGGGACCGAACCCAGGAATAACATTGACAACTCCTGGAGGAAACCCAGCTTCTTTAGTCAGCGCAGCGAGGTACAAATTACACAGCGGAGTCTGTTCTGCTGGTTTAAGAACCACTGGACATCCAGCAGCCAAAGCGGGTCCCAATTTAATTGCATAAAGCAAAACTGGAAAATTCCAGGAAGTAATTTGCCCCACGACTCCCACTGGCTCCTTCCTGGTCATCACCAAGGTTCCATCGTCTATTGGAATTGTTTGGCCTTGGATCTTGTCGCACCACCCTGCGTAGTACCGGAAAGTGTCCGCAGCCATTTGAGTTTCACCCACTGCATGAGCAAAAGGCTTTCCGTTCTCCAGCGTCATGATACTCGCGATTTCCTGGACATGACGCTCCACCAAATCCGCAAGCTGAAATCAACAAAGTTAATTAAATCACTTGCTAAAAATCCAGGAAAATTAAAACAGTTCCTTACCTTGTTCAGAAGCGTGGATCTTTGCGCGGGTTGAAGGCCCCGCCATTCAGATCCGCGAGCGAACGCTTTCTTCGCCGCTGCTACCGCTTTGTCGACATCCGCCTGCAAGAAAACTTCATTATAAAATATCCAATTCACATTTATTATCTGATGAAAAAAATTAACTTAATTTAAGAGAAAAATTCTTGATCAAAAAAATTTTTCTTGATTTAAGTTAATTTTATTGGGTTAAAAATTTCTTCTCGATTCAAAACAAAAAATTTCTTCATTGATTGAAAATTTTTCTCTTGGATCAAGTTAATTTTTCTATCAGTGTATAATTACTATTGTTTAATATTAATTATTAAAAATGTAACATAAGCACTGTATCTATAAAATTCCATTCTTAAAATATTTCTAGTCTTTTAAAATTGAATAATTAATCACCTTGTCTCCTTCCGTGACTTTCGCGACCACCGTCTCATCGACCGGGTTGATACTCGCAAATCTCCTCCCATTCACCGAATCCACAAATTCATTATTTATAAACAATTTAGTGTACTTTATTCCCACGTTAGGACTCACCATGCTTACTCCACTGGACTTCGATCAGCTCTACTGCATCGGTTTTATTTTCCTTCCATCCTAAGCGCTGACACACACAGACATCTCCAACATTCACATTCATACATTCTTCTATATATAGGCATTTCCACCGTCTATCTATATATAAGTGAGCAAATGCAAGTTACAAGTAACGTGACTGGATTCCAAACAAACAGCTGCGTCTAATCCCTTTTGTACTTACAGTAACTGTTTCTCTATCCATAATCACAACCTTCGTCATTGACGTCACGTGTTATCAACGATTGCCTGCAGCTAATTGTCACCAATTGTGTTTCCATTGTTTATTTTTTTTTATCCTCACTTTTGGTTGCTACTCAATGAATCACCTTAATCTTGCCTATATTTTATCAGTTTATTTGCTTAACAAACATCACATAAACGTGTTTACAAATTCCAGGGATAAACTTTTCAAAGTTTATCATTTGAATCAATGCAAGTATTTATTTTAAAGCTTACAAATAAAATGAAAAATATAATATTTTTAAAAATTTGCACTTGTAATTTTTTTTTAGTTTCTAATGTACAATTCTTTTATTAAAATGTTTTGATAATAATTTAGCTGTCATAAAAATTACAAATAAATCATAGTAAAAAAAAATTGCCATGTAGAAATTTAAAAAAATAAAAAATGCAATTTTTCTAACAATAATTTTTTGGAACAAATTTGTTTCTTTTTAATAAAATTAAAAAATGATCAAATAGTTGCTAATTTTTTTATCTGACTTTTTTATAAATTTAAAATTGCAATATAACAATTTATTAATTAAATATTATTACATTTTTTATTTTTAATTGTTTAATAATTTTAATAGAATAGATTCAAAAATAACAAAAATTTTAATTTACTACCAAGAGAAAAAAAAAACAACTTTTCCTTTCTAACTTCAAAAATTTCAAATAACCGAATAAATATTAAATTTCCAAGAATGTTTATTAAACAGATGCGAGTTTAATTGAAATAGTCTTAGTCTCCAAATAGTAATCCAAGGACTCTGCGCCACTGAAAATAGAATCAATAAATTATTCATATCTTCATGGATTAATTGATGAGTTAATGAATTATTCATTAATTATGAAAATTGAGTTAGCCGACATTTAAAAATTATTATAATTTTATTTATTGAAAGAAAAAAATTACAAAAAATAAAAAAAAAATTTGACATGCAGAAAATTTGAAAAAAAATATTTTTTATTTCTAATTTAATAAATGAAGCAAAATCAAAAAATCTAAAATATCGGCTAACTTTATTATTATATTATATTAAAGTTAGCTGTCACGACAAATTTTTATTTAACAATTAAATTAATTCTAAAAAATGATTGTTAAAAAATTGCATTTTTAATTTTTTTAAATTTCTACATGTCAATTTTTTTTCCTAATTTTTTTTTCTATAATTTATTTGTTAGAAAAATTTTAAGAATTGTTAAATGTCTGCTAAATTAATTTTCATTATTATTATTCATTAATTTGTAGATCGATTATTAGATAGACTTACAGTTCCCGACCAATTCCTGACTGTTTAAAGCCTCCAAAAGGAGTTTGCGGCATCAAAGAAGCATATTGATTAACCCAGACAGTTCCTGATTCTATTTCTTGGGCAAATTTGAGTGCTTTGTTGATGTCTTTGGTTAAAACACCTGCTCCCAGTCCGTAAGTTGTTTTATTCGCGCGCTCTATCACTTCCTCCATTTTGTCGAACTTGAGAATCGCTTGGACGGGCCCAAAGATTTCTTCTTTTGCGATTGTCATTTCATCAGTCACATTCGCAAAAATTGTCGGCTGTTAAATAAAGAAATTAATTATAAATTAAATTAATAATAAAAATTAAAGTATTAAAAAATATATATTACTTGAATAAAATATCCGCAATTTCCATGACGTTTTCCTCCAGCAACTAAAGTCGCGCCTTCAACGTCCCCAGTTTTGATATATCCCATAACTTTTTCAAACATATCCTTCTCAACTTGAGGCCCTTGCTCGGTTTTGGGGTCAAACGGGTCGCCAAGAATGCGCTTTACCGCCAATTCTTTAGATTTTTCGACAAACTCGTCGTAAATTTTGGAATGAACATAAGTTCTAGCCGCAGCGATGCAAATTTGACCGGAAAAGTTGAAAATTGCGTCGTGAGCTAATTTTACTGCTTCGTCAACTGAATAGAAAAAAAAAAATACTTAAATTATCAAAAATGTGTCAATTTTTTGAATTTTTGTATCAATTAAATTATAAAACAAAAATTTTAATCAAAAAATTCTGCATTTAAAAATTAAAAACAAATTTTAGTGGAAATTTGTCATAAATATTGTTTTTTTATAATTATTTTGTAAAAATTCTACATTTAGAAATTAAAAACAAATTTTAGTGCAAATTTTTAAAAAATATTTTTTTTTAACCATTATTTTATAATAAAAACAAAAATTTGTCAGATGTATGCTGATTTTAGTATTTAAAAAAAAATACTGAAATTAATGAACATTTGTCAATTTTTTAAATTAATATCAATTAAGTTATAATGAAAAAATTTTTATTCAGAAATTCTACATTTAGAATTAAAAAAAAATGTATTGTAAATTTTTTAAAAATAATTTTTTTTTATAATTGTCAGATGTCTGCTAATTTCAGTATCATTAAAAAAATTATTCTAAATTAATGATTTTAAAATTGATGAGTTGAAAATTTTAACTTACCGTCTACGTCATCAAAGATAATCAAAGGACTTTTTCCACCGAGTTCTAAAGTCACTCGCTTTAAATTGCTGCTACCTGAAGCTTTCATAATTGACTTTCCAACCTGATTGGTAAAAAAAAAAATAATTAATAATTAAATATCCAACAATTTTTTATGTAAAAAATTTTTACCGCAACAGATCCAGTGAAGGCAACTTTTGCGACATCAGGATGTTCAGCAAGAGCGGCTCCCGCGGTGGGCCCAAACCCAGGAACAACATTGACAACTCCTGGAGGAAACCCAGCTTCTTTAGTCAGCGCAGCGACGTACAAATTACACAGCGGAGTTTGTTCCGCTGGTTTAAGAACCAAAGTGCAGCCTGTAGCCAAAGCGGGCCCTAGTTTTAATGCAAAAAGCATTACTGGATAATTCCAGGGAGTAATTTGCCCCGCGACTCCCATTGGCTCCTTCCTGGTCATCACCAAGCTTCCATCGTCTGTTGGGATTGTCTGGCCGTGGATCTTGTCGCACCATCCTGCATAATAGCGGAGAACTCCCGCGGCCATGTGAGTTTCACCAGCGGAATGCGCGAAAGGTTTCCCGTTTTCCAGAGTCTGGATGTGACCTATCTGCTGCGCGTCACGTTCCATTAAATCAGCGAGCTGGAATAAATTATTTATTGAAGATAATATATCATTTTTCAATTAATTATTTACTATTAGTTAATCTATATTATTAAGAAAATGAAAACAATTTTAATTAGGCTTCATTCAAAAATACTCTATCTCTACACAGAAAGAAAAATTTATTGACTGGTGAAAAAAATTCTTGGCTTATAGTCATTTTTTCTTAATTCAAATTATCATAAATACTTGATACAATAAATTTTTATATTTGATCAAGATTTTTAGATACTATAGGGAAGCAGCGCCATCTACTTCAGCTGAGAAAAAAATTTTCTCACCTTGAGAAAATTTTTCTCTTGAATATTTGATACCCATTTTATATTATTTTAGCGTGCAATTATACATATTGAATGAAAAAAAATGATTCAATATTATTTGATCTTTTCATTTAACAGAGAATGTTAATTAGAGAATTAATTTTGTTGAAATAAGTGAAAATTCTTGTGTCAAAAAAAAAAATTTCTTTTTGCTCAAGAAAATAATTAGGAAGAAAAATATTTCCTTGACTCAAGTGAACCTTTTTTTCTGTGTAGATAATACATAATTAAGAAATGACCTTGTATCTTGTGAAATATTGACATATTTCGAAGATACAAGCTCACCCCGACATTACACTCATCGAGACATCTCATTTGAGTACTCACATCAATTTTTCACATATATTATATATTTATATATGTATATATGAAAAATGTATCAAAATGCATGTGGGTACTCAAATGAAAGCTCTTGATGAGTGCAACATTAGAATGAGCTTATATCTTTAAAAATGTCGATAGTTAAACAAGTAAGTACTGTACAATGCAATTTAACGAAATTCATTATTTACTAAAGCAAAATTTTATTTATTTATAGTTCACAAGTCACGGCAGTCACACAGTGACTAGGTTGCTAGTTAAATTTAATAAAAAATTCTTACTTTGTTCAAAAGTCCGGCTCTTTGCGTAGGTTGCAGGTTTCTCCATTCAGATCCTCGCGTGAATGCTTCCTTCGCGGCCTTCACTGCTTTATCAATATCTTCCTGCAAAATATTATCGAAAATTTTACTTGATCAAAATTATTCTTGTTAAATAAATTAAAAAAATTAATTACTAACCTCGAGTCCTTCGGAAACTTGCGCTATTTCTTCTTCAGTAGCAGGATTTATCACCGGGAATTTCTTCCCACTTTCTGAGTCAATAAATTCGTTGTTTATAAACAATTGAGTGTATTTAATTTCAATTTTACTCGTCATTTTTTATATTCTGTACTTAACTTGTAAATTTAATTTCTGCAATGAGTAACTGAATAAACTGATATAAGTTCAGGCGACAAACTGATAGCTTGCTTTAAACTTTGGGTTTGGGTTTATATAAACTAAGTAAGCTATTGTTGATAGCTGCTAGATAATTCGTAGGTAGAACGTACAATTTTTTTAATTGCTAGTGTTTATTGTCAATGTTTCCATAAATAATTACATAAGAATGATGAGTTGTTTTTCATTTATTTATAAGTCGCCATAAGACGGATTATTTACAGATCGATGACTAAATTTCATGACATGACTATTGAGTTTATAAATTGTGTGAAAATAAATTATTGAAAATACGCAGAGAAGATAAAAAATATTTATAGGGTAAATAAATTTACGAAATGAAGAGCAGTAAGTTTTATTCTTGTAAATAACTTATTTAGATATTATTCATTTGACATTTTGTAATTTTATTGATATCGTTTTTTTTTTTTCTTAATTTGTTTAAAGTCGCATAAACTACTAAGGTCATGAGCGACTACGGTAGGGGGTAAACTTTTGAGATTGGAACTCGTTTTTTATTTCTTGGGCTGAGCAGAATAATACACTTAAATATTGAAAATATTAATCGGTCCAATGCTTTGGTAAGCAAGGGCCGGATCCGATAGGCTACTGGGCGCCTTGATATCGTTTTTGTTTCTAAGTAATTGTCTAGAGATACAGCGCCACTAAAAAAAAAACAATGATAATTATTAATTTAAAACAACAATATTTCATATAATTAAAGAAAAAATTGAATTAATTTTTTTCAGAGAAGGAAAAAAATAAATGAGGACAAATTTACAATTCACGACCAATTCCAGATTGTTTGAACCCTCCAAAAGGAGCTGAAGGAGTAAGAGCGCCATAATGATTGACCCAAACATTACCAGATTCTACGACTTGGGCAAACTTGATAGCCTTGTTGATGTCATTGGTCAAAACACCGGCCCCAAGACCATAATTTGTGTCATTCGCGCGGTTGATAATGTCTTCCAGGCTCTCAAATTTGAGAATCGACTGAACGGGTCCAAAGATTTCTTCTCTGGCGATCGTCATCTCATCAGTCACATCCGCGAAAATCGTCGGATGAATAAAGAATCCTTTATTTCTTACGCGCTCGCCGCCAAATTACTATTTCCCGAAGCCTTCATTATCAATTTCCCAACCTAGAAACAATCAAAGCACTTAAAAAAAATTCTAAACTGCAAGTAAACTTTCCCTAATTCAAGTCAAAAAATTCTCACCTCAACAGATCCAGTGAAAGAAATTTTAGCGACATCAGGATGTTCAGCCAGAGCGGCTCCCGCGGTGGGACCGAACCCAGGAATAACATTGACAACTCCTGGAGGAAACCCAGCTTCTTTAGTCAGCGCAGCGAGGTACAAATTACACAGCGGAGTCTGTTCTGCTGGTTTAAGAACCACTGGACATCCAGCAGCCAAAGCGGGTCCCAATTTAATTGCATAAAGCAAAACCGGAAAATTCCAGGAAGTAATTTGCCCCACGACTCCCACTGGCTCCTTCCTGGTCATCACCAAGGTTCCATCGTCTGTTGGAATTGTTTGGCCTTGGATCTTGTCGCTCCACCCTGCGTAGTACCGGAAAGTGTCCGCAGCGATTTGAGTTTCACCCATTGCATGAGCAAAAGGCTTTCCGTTCTCCAGCGTCATGATACTCGCGATTTCCTGGACATGACGCTCCACCAAATCCGCGAGCTGAAATCAACAAAGTTAATCAAATCACTTGCTCAAAATCCAGGAAAATTAAAATAGTTCCTTACTTTGTTTAGAAGCGCGGATCTTTGCGCGGGTTGAAGGCTCCGCCATGCAGATCCGCGAGCGAACGCTTTCTTCGCCGCTGCTACCGCTTTGTCGACATCCGCCTGCAAGAAAACTTCATTATAAAATATCCAATTCACATTTATTATCTGATGAAAAAAATTAACTTAATTTAAGAGAAAAATTCTTGATCAAAAAAATTTTTCTTGATTTAAGTTAATTTTATTGGGTTAAAAATTTCTTCTCGATTCAAAACAAAAAATTTCTTCATTGATTGAAAATTTTTCTCTTGGATCAAGTTAATTTTTCTATCAGTGTATCACTGTGAAAAAAGCGGGGTGAAATGGACTTATTTTAACACCGCTATGTAACACCTGTGTATTAACACCGGTGTAGCGGTGCTCTTTTGCGGTGTTAAAAATCATGAGTTAAACCGGTGTAATATCGGTGTAACCGGTGTATTACCGGTGTAACAGTCGAATATTCAATTTATAAAATTACGCAGAAATCGATTTAATGAATGTTATACAACAAGTTAAATAATATTTACAATATTAAATGTTTAGGAACAATATAATAATTATTTTTATCATAATCATGATGTTTCTCATAATATAATGAATGTTTTAAACATGACGAATTAATAATTTGATAACTTTGCTTTTTTTTTTTTTCAGATATTTTGTTTGCACATAAACTTAAATTTATTTGTATAACACATAGTCTCCTATAGCTTACACACCGGCATTATATTATCATTATCATTATAAAGGAAAATTCTTTGAATTTCACCGAAAACGGGTAATTCGTAAATTCTTAAATTGTCCCAAAAACGTCCTAAAATTGTCCAAAAAATTTTTCATCCATTAATTTCGGGACAAATCTACAGCTGTGCAAAAATAAATTATCTCTATGAAAATCATTTAAAAAACGTTCAAAATTGTCGTAACATTGTTCTAAAAATGTTTCAAATTTGTTGTAAAAACACTCTAAAACTGTCCATCAAGAGATGTTCCAAAATTGTCTCAAAAATATCCGAAAAATGTCTCAAAAGTATTCAAAATTTGTTCTTAAATAGTTAAAAAAATATTTTAAGATTATTCAAAAAAGGTTCCACATAAAATTTAAGAACAAAGTTTCAAATAAATTGCATTGATTCTAAAATTATCTTAGAAGTATTCCGAAAATCTTAAAAAAAAATACTTAAAAGTTATGAAATAATTACTAAAATGCACGATTTTCGAGTTTCCTATTATTTATATGATGTGCTAAAATTGTCCGTTAATAATGGTGTTAAAGTAACATGGATCGAAAATTTACATCGAGAGAATTTCACACTACACGGCCGTGTTAAGTGCTCCGGGTCCATTTTTACATCGAAATTATTTACGGTGTATTTGTTTAATTAAAAATTTGTATCTACTTAATATTTTATTATTTTAAACTTTTTAAATTAAATATTAACGTCTTTTGATGATTTATTTTTAATTATTAAGCATAAAAACTTTAATTATAAAAATTGTGTTAGTTAAAATATTATCAACACCGGAAAATTTATAACACCGATTTAACACCGGAATTTTTAACATCGTACACCGACTCAGGCCGGTTTTTTTTTACAGTGTATAATTACTATTGTTTAATATTAATTATTAAAAATGTAACAAAAGCACTGTATTTATAAAATTCCATTCCTTAAATATTTCTAGTTTTTTAAAATTGAATAATTACTCACCATTCGTGCTTCCGCGACTTCCGCGACCACTGTCTCATCCGCCGGGTTGATGCTCGTGAATTTCTTTCCACTCTCCGAATCCACAAACTCATTATTTATGAACAATTGAGTGTATTTTATTGACACCTCTCCACCAGCCATTGTTCAATTTTTATTTCTTCTTTTTAATTTATTAAACAACTTGCGCTCAACTCAATGAACTCAGGAAGTCTGCCTCTCCTCGAGAACTCTTATAGAGACAGCAATGTTTAAAAATGTCTTTCAAACTTATCGCTATCAATTTTTATGACTTTTATGCTCACTCAATATGACAACAACAACTACATTATATACTTAGTACTTGAATTAACTACGGCTTAACATTCCAGCTCATCCTTCCCACAGTTAATTCTATACACGCATTTTCTATTGAATTATTCTAATACATAATTTAAATAAAGCAATTACTAATAAAACTTGTTTTTATTTTTTTAAATTAAAATTTTTTTTACTAATTTTAAATTTGATTATTTAAAAATTAATTATTAAAATTAAGACTTATAAAAAATTAACAACAATAATACATAAAATAAATTTTTATCTTTTTACTGCTATTATCACAAGGTCAAAAATTAATTACAAAAAAATTTTTTTGTTTGAATTTAATTGAAATTTTTGGAACTTGGTAATAAAATAAATAAAAACAATACATTGGCATAAATAAAATTATTTATATTTATAATTTTTCTAAGTATAATTAAAAATAATATTCTACATAAAAACATGCGCAGTACATAAATTTTTTTTGTACACTATAAAAATTATCGGTAATTATAAAATCGGCGTGCGGTTATTTAGCATTTAATATAATATCTATTCTATTTTTTAAAAATTATTTTAATATATAATTATTTAAAAAGAAGTTTGGTATAAAAATACATACAAGAATTAATTGCATATCACCCAACTCCTACAATATAACATTGAACACATTTTTCGACATATTTTTTACATTGAAAAATTATTTTTTAACGACAGTTACGAATGGCAGTGTCGAATTAATAATTTTGTTTATTATTATCTTAATAGTTATAATTTATTTTGTTTTTTTTTTTACTCAATCCGTGACGACAATGTGTACTCTAAATGTCAGAGGCTTTTCCCATACTTCGTTAGCGGCAGTGATTCCGTTGGCCGGCACCCCGTGAATTACCACGCGGAATTCTCCCGACCTTTTGAGACGACTCTTGAAATGCAGGCCCCAGATGCCACCGCGGTCTTTGACCAACTCGAATTGGTTGTTTTTGTTGCCTTTTACTATCGAATATTCCATTTTTTCATTCTAAGAGGAAAAAATAATTTATTAATTTAGTTAAAAAATTTCAGTACTAATTTATAAAAAAAAAATACACACTTTAATTGCTGGCTGTAATTTAATAATTCTCATTTTATGCTTTGTCTGACGTAATGTCATCTTCATGGTATATGTTTCTCCATGATGGTGTCTTGCTGAGCGTCTCATTAAAGGTGTTCTTCTATTTAATCCTCTAGCGTGTCTAAATTTTGAGTAATTAGCATTAATTGTTTGATTAGATTGTAATTTTGTTCCTCTTCTTTGTCGTTCTCTTCCATTGAGCTAAGAAATATTTATTATTATAATTAATATAAATATTTAATTCATAAAAATTATTTAAGAAATGATCTTGTATCTTGTAAACTATTGACATTTTTAATGATATAAGCTCATTTTGATGTTACACTTATCAAGACCTTTCATTTGAGTACCCACATCAATTTTTCATATATTATATATGTATATATATAATATATATCAAAAATGTATGTGGGTACTCAAATGAAAGCTCTTGATGACTGTAACATCGGGATGAGCTTATATCTTTAAAAATGTCAATAGTTAAAAAAGTACAATGCAATTTAACACGTCATTATTTAATAAAGCAAAACCTTATTTATTTATAGTTTACAAATCATGGTAGTCACATAATGACTGCAAGGTTGCTAGTAATGAATATTTAATACAAAAAAAAAAATTAATTAATTACCTTGCAAGAGAAGCAACCTTCAGAAGAAATAATTTTATCGCCAGCTGGAGGTATATGATAAGGATCTGGACCAATAACAAATGTTGGTACATTTCCTATTTCTTCTCCATAATTACCAGTGGCTATTGGATTTATTGTAGAAAGACAGTGACCCTGTCCAATACGCTGATAACCTGACGGGCAACCGCATAAGAAATTACTGGACCCACTGGATGTGCATCCGAAGGCACAAGGGCTTCCAAAACATCCTGGACTGACCTGTTACATTATTTTTGTTTAAAAATAATATGATATAATCTCATAAATTAAAAAAATAATTATAAAAATGATATAATAGGTACTTGAACACAAATCTGTAAGTCATTATCAAACTGATAATGGTCTGGACATCCACATTTATAACTTCCGATAGTATTTATACAAACACTATCTCCACAAGGTGAATTATTGCACTCATTTTCGTCGATACATTGATTGTAATATAAATGTTGGATGAATCCTTCTGGACAATTGCATCTAAATGCTCCCATTAAGTTCTAAAATTAATATTATCAATTTTAATTGAAAGTTTATTTCTTCATGATAATAAAATCAGCAGACATCTAATTATTTTTTCAATTTTATTCAAAAAATAAATTAGTACTGAAGAAATATTTCATTAAATTTGCATTAATAATTTTTCCATCTAGAATTTTTTAAATAAATTTGTGAATAAAATTTTTAAAACTCTCAAATATCTGCTAATTTTAATACCATATTTCTTCTTCAATAAATATAGTAAAAATTATTTTAAAAAATAAATTACTTGACAGCCATGTTCACAATTACTGTCATCAGCACATTCATTATTGTCCGTACAGAAACGTCCAGTGCGGTCTAATTTGAAGCCACGTGGGCAAATACACTTGAAACTCCCTAGAGTATTGATACAGGTTCCTGGTTTTGGACACGTTCCAGCTTCATCACACTCATTAATATCTTGAAAAATTATTTATTCCAATTAATATCATTAATTTAGAATATTATTATTTATAAACAAGACCTTATAATTAAATTAATTTTTAAAAAATTACCATGACAAGCATCACCATGCTGAGTGTATCCATCTCTACAAGCGCAAGTATAGCTTCCTTCAGTATTGATACACTTTTGCTGACAAAGATGATTCCCAGTAGCGCATTCATCAAGATCGCGACAGCCAACGCCGTCAGGATTCAAAATAAATCCAACTGGACACGAGCAACTGAAACTACCTTCCGTGTTTTGACAATTAAATTTACAAGGGCTGGGCGTCAGTTCGCATTCATTAACATCTAAAATAAATAAAAATTTTAGTCCAAGTCTTCACTGATAATTTAAGGAGTTTCGAGACCAAACGCATAGTACTATCAAAAATTTGAAATTTTGTATATCAGTCAATGAATATGATATATTTCTTGTGTTAAAATTTCAAAGCGATCCTCTGTACTGTTAATGAGAAATTAATTATGAAAGTCACTCGTTTTTACATGCTGGTATATGAAGGAGTAACGATTAATATTGATTTTATATCAATAAGTGTATTTTAAAATGTTAAGATGTGTCTATAAAACTTTTATTCATATTCTTTAAAATTTAAGCTTGATGATTTGACTATAATTGATAACTTCCTTTGTATGATTATTTATTTATGTAATTTTAAATGTATATTTTTTCTCCAAAGAAATGTTTTCTCCAAATAATGCACCGTTGCCATTTCTTACCAGTTTATTTACATAATTAATTTTTGAAAAAAACATTAATAAAAAAATTTTTTTTAATCAATCACTATACAATGTAATTCATAATTAATTTCTCTTCTCGGTAAATATTTACAAGTTGGGTCAACCATTTTAATTTTAATTTTTTTGAATGAAATTTCTATTTGATTTTATTGATATATTTTTTTTTGAAAAAACAAAAAAAAGTTGATTATCACAATTTTAACAAATTTTCAAAAAAATTTATAAAATGGTGATATTCAGCTTGTTTTTTTTTAATTGTTCATTTTTATATGTACTTTTCAAAAAAAAATATATCAAAAAAAGATAAAATAGAAATTTTATCCAAAAGCATGAGTCAAAATTTTTTCCAACTTTTGACGACAAAAAAGTTATCGAAATCTTCATTTTCTTCTTTCACGACATTTTTTATGGTAAATGCGCCGTAAAAACAAGCAGAATAAAAAAAAATTGAAAATGTTTATTTTTCACCTAGATATGGCCCAAAATGGGGTTGACCCTACTTGTAAATAATTACCACAAATTTTATCAGATCTCCTAGATAGAAAAAAGGTCTCGAGACTCCTTAAATAATATCAATTATTTCCCAAACAATAAAAACAAACCTAAACAATGAGTTCCAGCTTTATCAGCCTTGTACCCCTTATTACAAACACACCTAAAGGACCCCAGAGTATTAATACACATTCCATTCCGACACAAATCAGGAATAGCCGTGCACTCATCAATATCCTGCCCATCAACCGAGAACCCTTTATCCAAACAAAGTTCATTATAATTATCCGAGTCCCTTGAGGGACACAATTCACAATGAGGTCCCCAGGCAGCTCCCATAGTACAGCAACAATCAGCCTTGGTCACGGTCTTCAACTCCGAGGTCCTAGCAGAGCACCTTCCACTAACAGTCCTCAAGAAGCAGTAGCCAACCCTCCTATCAACACAAGACTTTCCATCCCCACTCGTTTCAAAGCCCTCATAGCACCTGCACTGATAGCTTCCCTCCAAATTAATACACTGACCATTCCTACAGAGCCCTGAATTGACCGAGCATTCATCAACATCTTTACACTCATCAGTCATTCCAATCTGCTGATATCCAGGCGGGCAGATGCACATAAAAGACCCGATCAAGTTCTTGCACTGGAACTTGCAATTATTCGCCGGAGTCGAGCACTCGTCAACATCAATGCAGTGTCTTCCATCAGCAGCCAAGATGTACCCGTACGGACAAATGCACCTGAAAGACCCCGGAGCATTGTGGCAGCGGAATGCGCACTGGTTCCCGAGTTCCAAGCACTCGTTGATGTCTTCACAAACTTGGTTCACTCCAGGCGCGAATCCGTTCGCGCAGGAACACTCGAACCCTCCTTCAACATTCGCGCAGCTTCCGTTCCCGCAGACGTTCTGGTTGTGCAAGCATTCATTTAAATCCACGCATCTTCTCCCGGTGTCGTCTAAAGTGTACCCTGGAGGACACTCGCACCTAAAAGACCCGTCAGTATTTATACAGTCCCCGCCTGAGCAAGCATCAGGCATAAAAAGACACTCATTTAAATCCACCCCCGTGTCGTCTCTCCCCGAGCCTTCAGGACAAAGCCGCTTGAATTCCTCCGAGTGTTCCCTCGGACAAGTCTCGCAGTTTCTCCCCCAAGCCTTGCCCATCGTGCAGCAGCAATGTTTCCTGGTCATCTCTCCTATCCTTGGCGCCAAGCATTGTCCTCTGCGGAAGCGATCGTAGCACTGTTCCTCCCGAACATCAACGCAGGTCATCGAGTTCCACTTGTCGCTCAACTTAAACCCTTCCGGGCACTCGCAGATCACTCCGCCGTCAGTATTAATGCACTTTCCGTTCTCGCAGATGTTCTTCGTATCAACGCACTCGTCAACATCAACGCACCTCTTCTTCGAAGTGTCCAGTTCGTACCCTGGAGGGCAGCTGCAGATGTAAGAGCCCATTAAATTCTGGCACTTTCCGGGAGAAGGACAGAGCCCAGGGATTTCTTGGCACTCATCAATATCGCGGCAGTGCTGGCCATCTTGCGCTAAAGTGTATCCATCAGCGCACTCGCAGACAAAAGAACCGACTAAATTTTTACAGCGGCCGTTCCTGCAGAGGAAAGGCATTACTCTGCACTCGTCAATGTCTGCGCAGTCGTTGTTTGGAGAAAGTTTGTACCCGTCGTAGCATTGACATTTATAAGAGCCTAGAGTGTTGACGCAGGTTCCGTTGTTGCAGATATTTGGATTTCTTTGGCACTCGTCAATGTCCACGCAGAAATCCCGGTCCCGGGTCAGAGCGTAGCCTAAATGGCACACGCACTGGAAGGAACCTTGGAGATTATTGCAGACTCCGTTGGAACAGATTCCAGGGCGCTCGTAGCACTCGTCGATGTCGATGCAGCTCCGCTGGGAAATCCCTAATTTGTACCCCGCTGGGCAGCGACACTCAAAGCTGCCCTGTAAATTCACGCACTGCGCGTTTCCTGCGCAAGGATTTGGAGTTTGCTGGCATTCATTCTCGTCGATGCACTGGTGAGAGTCCTCGTCGTAGATGTACCCGATGTCGCACTGGCACTCGAAGCTCCCGGGGGTGTTTAAACAGCGCCCGTGAGTGCACATCGTGGGCATCAGCGCGCACTCGTCGATTTCTTCGGTGTGATTTGTGATCGGGTTCATTATCTGCCCGGGGACCATTCCGCAGAGGATCTCGTGCTCGCGGGTCCGCTCGCCTGGACATCTTTCGCAGGGAGATCCCCAGGCGGCGCCCATTGAGCAGCAGCAGAGCATCTTGGTCTGGGGATGGACCATCGGGTTGAAACACTGTCTGTCTTCGTAGTTCATGTAGCAGAGCTCTTTTCGCATGTCCACGCACTCTTTTCCCCCCGGCATGGACATGTAGCCTTCTGGACACTCGCAGTGGTACTTTCCTTGGTCGTTTATGCAGTAGCCGACTCCGCAGATCTGCGGGTGCAGAGCGCACTCGTCGATGTCTGTGCAGCTGGTCTTGGTCGGGTCGAGGATGTATCCTTCGTTGCAGGAACACATGAAACTCCCAAAGGTGTTGGTGCAGTGCCCGTTCTGGCAAATGTTCTCGTGCTCCTCGCACTCGTTTATGTCTTCTAGAACTACCGTGATGCTGTTCGGTCGGTAGCCTAGACCTCCTGGGCAGAGTTCTTCGAATTCTTTGCTACCGATTTCAGGGCACTGCTCGCAACGAGTTCCCCACGCGCTTCCGATGCTGCAGCAACATGTTGCTTTTGTTACTGATGATGACATGTCGAAGATACACTGGGGACGCCCGCCTAGGTTTTCTGTACCGGTGTAGCAGAATGATTCTCGTCTGTCTGGAATTTTTTTAGTGTGGTGTTAGTATTTTAAGTTAATTTTTTTGGAATAGTTGAAAAGAATTTTATTATTGTTTTAAAAAAATAATTTTTTAAAAATTTGTAATTGTTTTTTTTAATAAAATGATTTTCAATGAATTTAATAATTGTTTGAATAAAATTATTTTAAAAAATTTAATAAATGTTGTAATAATTTTTTGAAGAAAAAAATTAAAAAAATTTTAATAAAACGATCTTAAAATATTTAATTCTTGTGTTATTTTTTAATTAATAATTTTTTAAAAATTTGTAATTTTTTTTTTTTAAGAAATTTAACAAATGTTTGAAGAAAAAAATTTTTTTTTAATAAAATGACTAAAAAATTTAATTATTGTTTGAATAAAATAATTATTAAAAAAAATATATATTTAACAATTTTTAGTTTTATTTTATAAATAAATGGACACTAATAAAATATTTAAAAAAAATTTCTGTTTTTCTTTTTATTTTAATTCTTACAAGTGGAAATTTTTTTTTTATTTTTTAAATAATTTTTTATTGAAAAAAATTGTAAGATGTCTAAAAATTTTATTACCATAAAAAAAGACTTACCAACACAAGCATTGCCAGCTTCAACAAGTTCATGATTCGGCGGACATTCGCAGCGATATTTACCCTGAGTGTTAACGCATTTACCATACTGACAAGCCTGAGGGCTTTCACACTCATCAATATCCGTGCAATTTCCTCCAGAGCCATCCAACTTGTAGCCCTCGTCGCACTCGCACCGGAACATCCCAAATATATTTTCACACTTGCCAAAAACACACAAATTGTGAAACATCTCACACTCATTTATATCAATACAAGCTTGTTCATTATTTTCTTCCGGGTGCATGAATCCCATCTCACACTCGCACCTAAAGGACCCGGGGTAGTTCAGACAGTGTCCATTTTCACACAGCGAAGGGTCGTTGGTGCACTCGTCGATGTCCCGACACGAGTAGCCATCTCCGCGAAATCCAGCGTCACAAATACACTAAAATTTAATTTATCAATCTCAATAATTGTCATTTTAATTAATAGTATAATTATAATTACCTTGAAAGAACCTTCGGTGTTAATACACTGAGCATTAGCATCACACCCGCCGTTATTAACAAGACACTCATTGATGTCTCTGCACTCGATTCCATTTCCAGTGAATCCGTCGTGGCAAGTACACTCATAAGATCCAGGAGTGTTGCGACAATTAGCAAACTCGCTGCAGGAATAAGCGTTCAGTAAACACTCATCGTCATCCGTACAATCGGGTCCAGCGTCTGGTTTTACTGAATAACCGTCCTCACACCGGCAGTCGAAGGAACCGATGGTATTTCTGCACTCTCCGAAACCACAAACTCGCGGTTGGGTAACACATTCATCAATATCTGCAATAAATTATTTAATTATTATATTAATCATTTTGAGGCTGCATTCAAAAATGCTCTATCTCTAGATACATAATTAAGAAATTACCTTGCATCTCGTGAACTATTGACATTTTTAAAGATATAAGCTCATTCCGATGTTACAATCATCAAGACCTTTCATTTGAGTACCCACATCAATTTTTTATATATTTTATATATTTATATATATTATATATATGTATATATGAAAAATATATCAAAAATGCATGTGGGTACTTAAATGAAAGCTTTTGATGAGTGTAATATCGGGATGAGCTTATATCTTTAAAATATATATTATATATATGGTTATATGAAAAATATATCAAAAATGCATGTGAGTACTCAAATGAAAGCTCTTGATGAGTGTAACATCGAGATGAGCTTATACTTTAAAAATGTCAATAGTTAAGAAAGTACAGTGCAATTCAACAAAATTCATTAATCAATAAAGCATAATTATATTTATTTATAGTTCACAAGTCACGGCAGTCACATAGTGACTGCAAGATTGCCAGAGTGGAAAATAAAATAATTTTAAATTTTTAGGTTTAACATATTTTTAGCAGCCAATTGAACTAGAATTTTTAATTTACATTTTAAAATAAAAAAATAGCGGCTACAAAAGAAAAAAAAGAATTTACATTTTTTTTTTCACTCATTTTTGCCAAAAAAAAAAAGTATTTCAATTTTTTTGAGCTTCAAAGCTTCATTAATTTTCTTCCAAAAATTTTTCATACTTAAATAAAATAAAAAATAAAATACCTATACAAGAAGTTCCATCCTTTCCAGGCAAAAGCCCCCCAGTACAATGGCAAGAATAAGACCCGCGTAAATTAGAACACTGTCCTCCATTACATATCCTAGGATTGTCTTTGCACTCATCAATATCCGCGCAGGTTCTTCCATCAAGATTCAGTCCAAATCCAGCGCTAAAAAAAATCCAATTAATTTCCCCACCAAAAAATTTCCTTCAATCAAAAATTACCTGCAAGCACAAGAGAAGCTACCAGGAGTATTGACACAAATATCTTCGCAGCCGCCATTGCCGACAGCGCACTCATTGATATCTTCACAGTGGGACTTCATCCCAGTTTGCCTGAACCCGTCGTCGCAGATGCACTGATAAGTTCCCATCATATTTTCACAGACGCCGTTCGAGCAGATTCCGCTGGTCCTGGAGCATTCATCAATGTCCTTGCAGGACTGCTTGTCTGGACTTAACTCGTGACCTGGAGGGCAGATGCACTTGAAGCCTCCTTCAATATTCCTGCAAGTCCCACCGCGGCACAGCCCGGGAGTTTCTTCACACTCGTTGACGTCCATGCAGATTTTCATGATCTCGCTGCTAAGAAATCCCTCGTTGCAGTCGCACTGGAAAGTTCCTGGAGTGTTGACGCAGGTTCCATTCCCGCAGACTCCGCGCATGATCTCGCACTCGTCGATGTCGTTGCACTTGAGCCCGTTTTCGTCCAGAGCGTAGCCCTGATTGCAGCGACAGCTGTAAGACCCGATGGAGTTCTTGCACCTTCCGTTCAAACACATCCCGGGGAACTCCACGCATTCGTTGATGTCCTGTCTGTCGGTGAAGCCCTCTCCTTTCGGACACAACTCTGCGTGCTGCTGAGTGCCTTGTTTCGGACACAGCTCGCACTTGTCGTTGCCCCACGCTCGGCCCACAGAGCAGCAGCAGATACTCTTTGAAAATTGACCCTCTATTGGAGACGTGCACTGGCCGTGGCGGTAGTCCATGTAGCAGGTTTCTTGTCTAGTGTCGATACAAGCTGAGTCTAAGGATTAAAACAAATTTGGTAAGTAAAAATTTTAAACTATTTTTATTTTCTAGTAATCTATATTAATCTATAAGTATTGAGGCTGCATTTGAAAATGCTCTAGCTCTAGCTACATAATAAAGAAATGACCTCGTATCTTGTGAATTATTGACATTTTTACAGATACAAGCTCACCCCGACATTACATTCATAGAGACCTTTTATTTGAGTACCCACATCAATTTTTCATATATTTTATATATATATATATATATAGCTCTTGATGAGTGTAACATCGGGATGAGCTTATATGAGCTTATCATATCTTTAAAAATATCAATAATTAAGAACTGACATTGCTATCTTGACAACTAATGACATTTTTAAAGATATAAGCTTACTCCGACATTACACTCATCGAGACCTTTCATTTGAGCACCCACATCAATTTTTCATATATTTTATATATTTATATATATCATATATATGTAATACATATTATGTATATATGAAAAATATATCAAAAATGCATGTGGGTACTCAAATGGAAGCTCTTGATAAGTGTAACATCGGGATGAGCTTATATCTTTAAAAATGTCAATAGTTAAAAAATTACAGTGCAATTTAACAAAAGTCATTAAAGGATCTTGATTTTTAGCCATGAAAAAATTTCTAGTCTCCAATCAAAGAAGCATAAAAATTTCTACAGGCTGTAAACTTACGTGTAGGGTCCAGAGTAAGTCCTGGAGGACATTCGCAGCGATAAGATCCATCAGTATTGACGCAGGTGCCACCTCCTTTACAAATTCCACTGTTCAACTCGCATTCGTTGATGTCAGCGCAAGCTTTCCCGTCAACTTTCGCGTATCCTTTAGAACAGTCACAGAAGGAGTAGTCGCAAGCCTCGCAAGGACTTCCCCAAGCGACTCCGACTGAGCAGCAGCACTCGGATTTCAGTGCTAGTCTGGGGAAATTGTTTTCACATCTTCCGTCGACCATTTTTGTCCAACATGAGCCTCTTCGATTGTCTGATTGATCAAGAGCATACAGTTAGTAATTTTTATTATTAATTTAAGATAGCTAGTTTCAGTATAATTGCTTATTGATGAAAAATAGTACTTACCCATACAAATATGACCCGTGTTATCAAGAATATACCCATTAGTACATTCGCACTGATAAGAGCCTTTGGTGTTTATGCAGATTCCATTGATACAAACATCAGCGCCAAGTTCTTCGCATTCGTCGACATCTTCGCACATCTGATTTTGTGTGTTGAACCGGGTACCAGTTGGACACACACACTGGAAACTTCCTGGGGTGTTTCTGCACTGACCGCCTGAGCATAGCGAGCTTTCTAATTCGCATTCGTTTATGTCGCTGCATAGCTTCCCGGTCGCGTCTAATTGGTAGCCGTTGTCGCAAATGCAACGGTAGGTGCCCATGAGATTCTCACATCCACCATTGAGACATATGTTTGGATTTTGAGCGCATTCATTTATGTCTAAAATTAAAAAAATTTTTTTTTTAATTTAAATAATTTGAATAAAAACTTTTTTAATTTTTTAATTAAGATTAAAAATAAAAAAAATGATTTTTTATTATTGTATCAATTTAAGTTCAAATTTATCAAAAAAAAAAATTTTTTTTTAATTTTTCTACAAAATTATAATACTAAAAAAAATTTTTTTTTTATTTTCAATTCCAATATTTTAATCAAAAATTAAGTATTTAATTTTTAATCCCAATATTTTAATCAAAAAAAATTTTTTTAATTTTTAATTTCAATATTTTAATCAAAAATTAAATATTTAATTTTTAATCCTAATATTTTTGTCAAAAATTGAATATTTAATTTTTAATTAAAAATTTTATAATTGAAAAATTAAAAAATTTGAATATTAAATCTATCAATTTTTATTTTATCCTATTTAAATTTTGAATAATATTCTTTTTATATTACCATCTCCATTGTAAGTCATTCCAGCGCCATGAGGACACAAAGACTCAAACTCTGGAGTCCTGGGCATTGGACAAGCCTGACAATTACTTCCCCATCCTAGAGGTTGTCCTAAAATGACAGTACAGCAGCAGCAACTAGATTTAGTCACTGCCGTAGACGTCGGATTCAAACACTGGCCATCTTTGTACTGCGAGTAACATAAATCTCGCCGGGTATCTGCCGATTAAATTATTGCAATTAATTTTCAATAAACAGACAAGTTAATTAAAATTATAATTATAATTTACAATTTACAATAAATTATTCACCTAAACATGATCTACCATCCGGTCCCAAGTTGAAACCAGGGTTACATTCGCACCTGAAACTTCCGGGCGTGTTTTTGCATCGGCCGTTTTGACACGGCGAGCTCAGACACTCGTCAATATCTGAAAATAAATTGATTATTATTGAAAAATTATTTGAAATAATTTGTAATAATATCTTACCTATGCAGTGACTTTGGTCGGGTCCCAATCTGAACCCAGAATCACAAACGCACTTGAAAGACCCCTCCATATTAACACACTTTCCGTTGTCGCACATCCCGGTGGTCGAACACTCGTCCATATCAACGCAAAAAGTGTTGTCCCTTGAGGGTGTGAATCCCGATTGACAGACGCAGTGATAGGAACCAGGCGTGTTTTCGCATCTTCCATTTAAACAAATTCTTGGATTTTCTGAACACTCGTTGATGTCTAAAAAAATTTTTAAATTATTAACTTACTATATATCACCTTACACGGAAAGAACAAGATGACACTGGATACCATCTCAGATTATACTCAGTGACATCTGAGGCGAAAAAAATTTTCAGATGGTAGCTAGTATAATCCAGATTATACTGAATAATATCTGGATTATACTCATTGTAATCTGGATTATACTCATTGTAATCTGGATTATACTCATTGTTATCTGGATTATACTAGCTACTATCTGAAATTTTTTTTCTGGATTATACTCATTGTAATCTGGATTATACTCATTGTAATCTGGATTATACTCATTGTAATCTGGATTATACTCATTGTAATCTGGATTATACTCATTGTAATCTGGATTATACTCATTGTTATCTGGATTATACTAGCTACTATCTGAAAAATTTTTTCACTCAGTATAATCTGGGATTATACCCAGTATAATCTTGTTCTTTCCGTGTACTAATGCCTTAAGAGCGAATAAAAAAATTATTTTTTTTCTTTATAAAAAATTTCAAAATTTATATAAAGTATAAATCTCTAAAAAAATGAAAAAAAATTTTTTTGGCAAGAAAAAAAATTCTTAAAGTCAAAAAAGAGTAAAAAAAATTTTTTTTTGACTTTCTGCTTTAAAAATTAAAACTTCTGGCTATAAAATTGAAAATTTTCAAAAATTCAAAAAATTATTTCAAATTAGACTTTTATAAATAAATTTTTTTTGTCCCAAGATTTTTTTTTCTCTAATTTCAATTTTTACAACCAAAAGTTCAAAATTTTTAATTTTGAAATCAGAAAATATAATCAAAAATTTTTTTTTTCATACTATAAGAATTTCTCGTTTAAAAAAAAATTTTTTTATAAATCTTTTTTAATTTAAATAAATTTACTAATATAATATTAATATTAATATCAACATCAAAACAATGAATAAATGAAATTAAAAAATTAGATAGGACATGTAGCTGGAAGGCTTCCGCATTGCTTGTAGCCGGTCGTTATCCTCAAATACTATTACCGAGTGATAAACTGCTGACTTGTAAATTATACTGGATATAATATAGCACGAAGAATATCGAGGGAATCCCTCGAGCTAATATTTTATCCTTACAAACTTTAATATTTATCCCGTATATATACATTGATATACATACACGATGATAGTCTGGTAAATAAATAGATTTAAGCTCAAGACAGCGTATGAATAAAATTAAAACAATATTTACCGATACACGTGTTCTTGGACGGCGAAAGAACGTAGCCGTCGTTACATTTACATTTGAATGAACCGTTCATATTTGTGCAGTGACCATTCGTACACATTCCTGTATCTTGACATTCATCGTGGTCTGTAAAATAATTGTAATTAAAAATTTTAATTATTAAAAATGTTTTTTAACAATTTAAAAATAGAAATCTAAACACAAACCGCTGCAATATCTTCCTTCTCCAGAAACGACAAATCCCGTAGGACAGTGACAAAGAAAACTTCCAGGCAAATTCTGACACGTTCCACCCTGACAATAGTCCTGCTGGCACTCGTCCACGTCCTCGCATCTGCCATTTAATTTTACATATCCTGGAAGACACTCGCATTCGTAGCCATCGGGGGTGTCGATACATTTTCCTCCCCCGCAGATGTCCGGTCGGAGAACGCATTCATTTATCGCGATGCTTGGAGCTTCTGAGCAGAGCTTGTGATGTTCATCTGCAAGTTATTAATTAATTAATAATTTATAAGAGGTGTAAAAGTAAAAATTGTTTTTTATACATACTAGTTCCGACAAGAGGACATTTGTAACACTCGTCACCCCAACCACGACCCATATTTTTACCACAACAACAATCTTTTTTACTCAGCCGAATTTCCAAGCGGTTTTTACATTGTCCATTTCGATTTACTGCCGTGTAACAAAGCCCTTGACGTCCATCTGTAATTTTATTAATATTTTTAATTAAAAAATTTAGCAAAAAATTTTTTAGATTTTTTTAACAAATAAATTATGAGTAAAAAAATATTTCTAAAAAAATTGCGCTTAAAATTTTTACATAAATAATTTTTGTAAAAATAATTTATTTATCTGGAAAAACTCTTAAAATTATAAAATTTCTGCTAATTTCATTTTTTAAAAAAATTTAGAGTACCTATACAAAATCGTCTATCCTGACTTTGAATAAATCCAGGATTACAAACGCAATAATACCCGCGTTCAGTATTAATGCATTTTCCATCGCTGCAAATCCCTTCTTCCTCGCATTCGTTTTTATCCGTGCACTCATTGGTCTCCAAATCTCTTGCCTGGCCTTCTGGACACTCGCAAGTGAATGATCCTGGAGTATTCACACACTTTCCACCCGCGCAAAGCCCAGGAATTGCTTCGCACTCATTGATATCTTAAAAATCCAACAATTATTACTGAAATTTTTTAATTATACATACAAATAAATTTTTGAAGTTTAATCACCTAAACATTGTCCTTGATTATTTTTGAGATGCCCGACTTCGCAGTCAAGTCTCGCAGGACACCTCTCGCAAGGATGGCCCCATCCTTTGCCGACAGTAGCGCAGCACATTTGTCGCGTGCAAACTACCCCCTGAAGATGGACAAGACACTGCCCGTTTTTGACTTTGGTGTAGCAGGGGCCTGTTCGGTAGTCTGTTTCGCAGCGTCTTCCGGTGTACCCATAGATACACGCGCAGCGATCGGGCCCGATGCATCTTCCTTGGTTCAAACATGGCTCTCGGCAAATTGCTTCGGGGTAAATTAAAATTAATATAAATATAATTTAGGAAAATTATTTTAAAGAATTTCAATGAAATTATTATTATTATTATTATTATTATTATTATTATTAAAATATACTTACGTTCATTACAAAATTCTCCTTCAAACCCAGCTCTGCACTGACACCTCCCGTCAACGCAATTTCCATTGATGCATCGCGCTCTGCAGGTTCCACCGTTCCGCGTTTGCAGACCCCTGTGATCTTCTTGTCGCTCTCTCGGTTCATGTCCTGTGTTTAAGTATTTATAATTTAATTTTTTCGAGGAATTATTTTGCTGGTAATTTTGAATATAAATAAGAATTGATATAACTGTCAGCTTATTAGCTGGTCATCTTCATTTAATCAATACAGTGAATCGACAAGACGGGTTATTTAATTTATTGAATTTATTGAACCTGTCAAAATTGACAGGTTTTATTGATTGTTTGACGGCTATTTGTTATTTGTTACCTCGGCTTGGGGAGGAAGAGGAGCCTTGAGATGAAACTGATGGGATGCTGCTGGTTATGCTGTTGCAAGATGCTGATACTGACCCTCCGTCACAGAGACAAACGTTTGGTCGAATACATCTTCCATTACCGCAACGGCGCGCACATATTGCTATTAATAAATTTATTTAAATATTAAAACTTAAAAAATTGATAAATTTTTAATAAAAATTTAATTGATAAATTTTTCAAAAAATTAATAATTTAAAAATTTCATTAAGGAAGTACGAGCGCTAAACGGGGTGAGGATAGGTATCGACTCTAGCGGGGTAAGGGGAGAACAGTAATCATATGATTTTTCTCAATATATAGATATACATTTAACATTGGCTAATGGCGGCATTTATTTTTCTTTTAATAATTAATACACTTTAATTAGCCGGGTAAGTGTAAATTTTTTTGAATTTAATTTATCACTAATATATTTACTTTCATCCATAAGTTTTTTAAAAATATTCGCCGACAGTTTTACGAGAAAAATACAGAAATGTATCAATGTTTGGAAGTTACCCCATAAGACCAATGTTAAATTGGTCAACTTTAAAGTTAATTATTTATTTAAATGACCGGGCAATCTCCTTCAAATTTTCAGGATTTGTTAAGGCATATTTAAGCTCCATTTAAAAAAAAAATCAAGCATTTTATCAAAAGTTAGCTTGGTGCTCGTACTTCCTTAAAGCTTTTTTTTTTTAATTAAAAAAAAATAATTTTATAAACTTACGAATGATGCAAAGACCAGTATCTTGTTTCCTAGACCAACCAGGACAGCAATAAGTCCGATATCTCGATCTACATATATTAGGTCTGAAAAAAAAATAAAAAAATGAATTGCCAGGAATGGTCACTCGACAATTAGATCAAGTACTAGTAAAATAACGAATAAATAATGTTAATAAAAATCTAAATGAAAATAAAAAAAAAATAGAAATCCAGATAGAGTTCAGAGGGATGAGAATAAAAAGGGCTTGATGCACGTCACCTAAGACAAGGCGGGCATTCACTTGGTTCTTTATAATTAACGTCAGCTGCTAGACCGCGTTTTAAGTACTTCCACTTACATAAAGTGGCGCCGCGGTTTATTGCCGTCTATATATACGAGAAGAGCGCATCTCGGTTAAACTGATATGTGATGACCACTCGCATGTATCTAATATGTATACTCATAATAATGCTCATCAACTCATACTCATCAGGAGAGCTGATATCACCAACCGCCCCGCTGATAGCTTCCAGACCAAAAAACAATCACCGTCAGACATTTTTACGGTCTTTTAAGATTTTATCGAGGTTTTATAAAAAATATATATGTCAATATTTTATTATTATTATTATTATTATAATTAAAGTCTTCCTAATCCTTCAATTTTTCCTTCAAAATTTTAATCAAAAAATTTTTAAATTAAAATTACGGCTGAAAAGTTTGATTAAAAATTTTCAATAAAAAAAACGTCAAATTGAAGGATTGAGAATTGCAAACTATTATTATTCTGATAATAAATAGAAACCGCGTGTGCAATAATTCATAATTAAATATTACAAGTTTACGATGACAGAAAGTGTAACTCACATTAACTATTCTTGAGATTATCGAATTTATGGCGCGATTGTGGCGTTATTGAGCAATCAACCCAGTAAGCAATTAAATAGTATAGTTTTACTGAATAAGAACGGAACAAGTGTATACCCTTACAATTATTAACAGCTCCTGGTTATTAGTTATTACCCGCAGGCTGTTGTACAAAGGCCTAAGGTACTTAACTGTTTTATTTTTAAATACTCAGTAGGCCACTGCTTCTCTTATCGTTTTCTGCCGCTGAGGTAATGTACCTAAGTAAATAGTAGTTTTTTTTTATTTAATTTATTATTCTGTTTTATTTACATTAAATTTAATAATGGATTCGCGTTTGAATAGTTTGTAAGTTCAAGTATCACTGGGCTATCAGCTAGGCGCGGGATAAAGATAATTCAATTAATTGATTGATATTTATGTATTTTATTATGACACTTTATTATCTACTATACTAGTTTTATTTGTTTGAGATCTAGTTAGTTTTATTTTATTGGGTTAATTAATTTGTGTGATTATGATGTTTATTTTATTATCAAGGGAATATTGTTGTAAAATTTTTTTTTTCATTTTATAAAAATTCCATAAGATTTTAGTCATAAAATTTTGAATTAAAACTTAATCAAATTTTTAATTTAAATTTTAACACACTGTAAAAAATTTTTCGTCATTGTGAAGAGTGTAAAAATTTGCGTGTATACACTAGAGTGTAATATTCTACACACAAACTTTTACACTCTACACAGTGACGAAAAATTTATTACTATGCACTAAAATTTAATATAAAAATTTTGGATTTATAGAAAAAATTTTTTTATTAAAATTCCTCAAAATAAAAAAAAAGAGTTCTAAAATTTCATTTAACTTTATAAAAATTTCAGGATTAAAATATAGAAAATTTAATTTTTTCTTTCAATCCAATAAACATTTTTCACTCACAGTAATTTCTTAACATCAGTTATATCAAAATTCAAAAAGACCTTAGTCATTTTCTATTCATATAAAATATATTGATGCGCAGAATATAAAATGAGATGTATAATTTGATAATTGCCTAATGTGTTGGCTGATATAATATGAAATATAAAATATAATGATAGGTATTTATTAAATCCGCTGTATCATTTTCACCCTCAGATTAAAAACTTCATCAATTTGATAAAGACATTATAAAGATTCAAAATGAATATTGTAATTTCTGTATCAAAGGATCATGATAGGGTTTGATTTTATCATCAGGAATTAAAAAAAAATAATAATAATAAAAATAAATTGTAGAAAAAAAATGTGTCAAGTAAAGGATGTACGCAAGTTATTAATAATTAAAGCAAGAGTAACATTTTAATTTACCAACAATAAGAATGAAACCCAATTAGACAATTATCAACGCTAATTATTGTTCGCGATACGGTAAATTGGGTTGAATTAAAACCTTGCGTAACGATATTAATAGAGGATTATTAAAAAACTTTTCGCGATAAAAAGCTGAGATGAAATAAAAGCATCATTTGCAGCCGGAAGGAAGTTTATTTAGGATACTTCCGTATTTAAATTTAATTAATCTCAGATTATTTGTGTTTACTATTCTTCGATTGTAAGTGATACTTCAGATAGAAGAGAGGAGATAAGAAATTAACATTTCAGGAATAGATATTAGGTAGTCCACTTTGCGAATTACTGTTAAGGTCACGGTGAATTGGCTAAATCACGATTGCGCAAAGGATGTAAAGTGTCGCTGGTCAGATCAGTAAGTAGAACGCTAATCGGTCACTTAACAAAATTATTAATATTTAAAGTGTAGACTGTTATTAGCCGTTGCAGATCATGAGCGATCATCATAAAAGTAATCTAGTAGCTGGTATCATTGTCATTAACATACAATTTATTGCGATAACAATTTTGCTAGTGAAGATAAGAACTATTTTCAGAGTGATACAAATTGCAGCTTAAACACTTAATACCCTCGTCATTTTTTTGTTGAATTTTATTTTACGCTTGCATTTTTATTGTAATTTATCTTTTAGCTTGTTTAGAATTTTCCGGTCCAGTAATTGATTTTTTTTTTTTATTTTATGAATCATTAATAAAAATTTTTATTATAAATTAATTCTTCGCATCTCTAAATTTTTCATCAGAAAATTAATCATTCCAATTCAAAATAAAAATAAAAAATTGTAACTAAACATCAAAAGCTTAACTTATATTTTTTCTACCTAAAATTAATCACGAGCTTTTCAACCAGACAAGAAATGAAAGATTTAGCACGTTAATCCCCGTCGCACTAAAAAAAACATTTCAATTACGAGCCTTAAAAAAAAAAAATAAAAAAAAATGATACAATTAAATCCCAACGAAGGTGTGACAAAAAAAGACAACTGTGAAGTAATTCCCTCGGAATTTATAATTTCTTTTCCGCGTATATTTTTAGCCACCAAATCCAGTATAGCACGGGTTATATTATGCGTGCGTAGATTCTTATCTGGGTGATGTGAGTTTACATTAAAGAAGTGATGTGTCTTATATACACATGCATATATATTTCTACATATATATACGTATAAAACGCAAGAAGAAAAAAAGGAGAGCCTCATGAGAATGTGAGAGTTAATTGGGCGCGAGAGTACAATCTGGCCACCCGGTTACATACATGTGTTATTAATGTTCATTTCATATATATGCGCACCGATGGAAAGACAAGACTAGCACATATGTCTGTACAACTCAATATAGTTATTTTTCTAATTGTTAGATTATTATTATTATTTGTCTCAGCAAAAAATAGAATAATATTAATAATAATAATTGAAAAATTTTATTATTTTTACTATCTATATTATTAAGAAAATAAGAAAAATTTTGTGCCCAGGATAATCGTATGATAAAATCGGTTATTTTTAATTAAATTTAGTGTGATTTAATTGCAAAGGTCTTAATTTGTGCCTTTTCAAGGTTTCATATCATTCTCACCGATAGTCAATTTATTATGCTAAGTATTTAGGCTGCATTCAAAAATACTCTAGATACATAATTAAGAAATGACCTTGTATCTCGTGAACTATTGACATTTTTAAAGATATAAGCTCATTCCGATGTTACATTCATCAAGAGATTTCATTTGAGTACCCACATCAATTTTTCATATAATATATATAAATATATAAAATATATGAAAAACTGATGTGGGTACTCAAATGAAAGCTCTTGATGAATGTAACATCGGAATGAGCTTATATCTTTAAAAACGTTAATAGTTAAAAAAGTACAGCGCAATTTAACAAAATTCATTATTTAATAAAGCAAAATTTTATTTATTTATATAGCTCACAAGTCACGGCAGTCACATAGTGACTGCAAGGTTGCTAGTTATTATTATTAATTTTATTTAAAAAATTTTACTATTGACTTAAAGCTCAGAATTTTCCGTAAGCATTTAAATATACACCAGTTTTATTTACAACTTGTATTGGGAAAAAGTAGCTGCGTCCGATTATTATAAGTGGCTACTTATTCATGAGCAAATAATGCTAATTACAGTACAGAATGTATGCATATATTGATGACTACCAGCCAAGTCAACTTGACTATCCACTAACCACCGGATTAACAGGAGTTACTTTTCTGAATATGATAAATATTATTTTATGTAATATAAAGTTGTTGTATTAAGTAGCTGCTACAAGACATCAGGTTTACAACCTTGTCATATTGGCGCCATCATAAAAGTTGTTAAGTGTAGTTCGTACCGGGACAAAAAAAGAGATTATTTATTTCATTAAGTATACAGTATAGTGGTAATGAAATAGAGGAGGAAAAGAGGAAATGCCGGATTTTAATATTTTGTTTATCTAGTTTAACTAAAAGAGGGAAACCGTTACCCACGTGGTGGTTTTATGCTTTTTTAGAATCGCTTTAAAAATTAGGGGACCGATGCCGAAAGGCTTTATGCTGTTGCAGTTGAGTATTAACTACCGCTTTTTATTACTATTATTCTATTAGTTTTATTTTTAAATCGTGGACAAAATTTTATTTTTTTAAGTTTTATATTTTTTTTGAGGAAATGAAAGAAAGAATTATGACACTTAGTTGGAGTAATTAAAGTCAAAAAATTTATTTTAGTCGTAATTATTTTTTTTAATTAAAAAAATTTATTCTAAATGATTTCTTTGTAAAGTTTTTGAAATTTTTTCATCAAAAGATTTTAATTCAAAATTGAATTGAATTTTTTTTTAAATCCAAAGAATTATTATTATCATTATTATCACTATTAATATTATTTTATTAGTATCATAATAAAGTATAAGAGGAAGTACCGATAAATAGGTGCGCCCAAATGTCTGAATTATTGGAACGGATAATAAACATTAGCGATTCGTCGATCTTGATACCATTATTTCACTATTGATATTGTCCATTGTCACGATAACTTCCTGACTTTTACAATTACTTTATCATCACTTTCTTTTAATTAATTTTGCATAATACTGAATGTCCATCCACACTCACTGGAATTTACTGTGTACTAAAAATTCCACTTTTATTTTTCTTACCCTTAATTTGAATTTTACCAGCGATTAATTAATTTTTTTTTTTCAATAAATCTTTAAATTAAAAAGCTTTACTAAAAAATATAAAATAATTTTTAATGAGTTTAAAATAAACAAAAAAATAAATTTTATTGTAAAAAAAACTTGGGATGCTTTTTAAGATATTTTAATAATAACTCAAAATCTGTCAATAAAATATTTCCAACAATTGACATCAAGCATCTCCGGCTTTTTTACAATAAAATAAATTTTTTTTTAATCACTCTTATTTTAAGCTCATTAAAAATTTATTTTCTACTTTTTATTAAACCGTCTTTTTAATTTTTTAAAACAATTATTTATTTGATACCTTTTATTTCAATTGACCGTAAAAGCGTGTTTTACTTTTTCAAAGAATAATTTAAAAAAATTTTAAAACGTAGGAAAGGTCCCTAGTTGATCCTGCCAGTCATAAGCTTGTCTCAAAGATTAAGCTCAGCATGTGTTAGTATACGCGTTAGTGCTCGGCGCAAGATACTGCCGCTTTGGATATAAAACCCCGGAAATCCTGAAGATCCTGACCAGGATCGGGACAAACTTATAAAACGACTGTATTGTCATGGGTCCTTGATAAGTGTGCAAAGTTTTAATTTAATCGGACGTTTTGGTGCCCGAAAATTGAGTTCAAAGATTTTGTAGCACACATAGATTCATAAGAAGCTAATAAAAGCGTGTAAAATGTAAAAAATTACCCAGCTGGCGGATTAGTGTGGGAGTGATTATCAAAATCCTGCGGACCCGCGGAAGGCGTGCTGTAGTGAGCTAAATATCGGTCCCTGGTAGTCTCCTGGCCAGTTTGAACCGCGAGAACCCCAATAGCAGCGGCGATGCAAAACGCGAGCATCTTCCTGGGGTCCATCCTGGAGCTGAGCAGTCCTCACCGAGAAACCGACTCTCGATCCCGGATCCTCCAGCTCGTCAGCATCGGGAACGCCTGAAATTACAAAGCTCTTGGTTCTTATTTGATTAACAAAGCATATGTGTGTAATGTGTAATGTGCAAGTCGTGCGGAGATAACAAGTGTCCGGCGTTGGCGTTTCCGGAAGTACTTTTTAATATTTATCCAGCTTTACACATGTAGATATTTTATATAGTTATGTTGTATATATGTGTAAAAATAATATCATAAATTAATATTTTATCAATTATCACGTGTGTATAAATAACAAACGTTATCGTACAACAAATAAATCCGGTACATTGTTTCTATTCATTGAAATAAAAATCAAGTACAAAAACTTAAATAACTTGATTTTATCGTGTGTGTGTGTGTGTTAAGATAACAAAAGAAGCGGTCTAATTTGAATGAGCGCGAACTAATATACGATAACATTCTCGGGTGAGATTTTATCTTAAGATCAAGGAACTTTATTCTCTATTTTTCTTTTACTTTTCTTTGCTTGTTATTTATTAGATCGTAAAATTTTCCGATTCGAAACAGTTTATTGGGTTTTAAGTAGAAAATTTTTAACTGGAAAAATTTGGGTTGAATTAAAAAATTTTATTTGATTAAAAAATGTTTTTTTTTTTTTTTTGTAAATACAAAATTAATTTCTTTTAGCAATGATCTAATTGCAGAATAATTAAGTAAAAATAATTCATATTGACTTAATCGAGGTATATTTGAATTGAAATTAAAATTATCGAAACATTAGCTTGGTTCAAAAAATTTTAACTTAAATCAAAAAGAACATTTTTTAAAATAACAAATTTTTTTTAGTAATTTGGATCAAGAAATTTTCTGATTAATTTTACGAAAAAAATAGGAAAAAATTAAAGTTTTTGGAGAAATAAGAGGCACTTTGAATAAAAATCTAAATTGAGAAATTATTGGAACAATTTCATAAATTTTTAGAAAATAAAATTTTATTGATTTTTACAGATTTAAAAAAATTCTACAAAAAATTTTATACTGTCATACAAATTGAGATGTACTTAAAAATTTTTAAACACTCTCATTTTGAGCCTAAAATTTTTTTTTATCAATTTTATTATCCATTTCATTGGATAAAGTACAAATAAAATTAATAGTTATACTCCACATTGCAGAATAATTAAAAAATTAACTTTTGACACATAAGTTACAATATAAATGAATAAAATTAACCAAAAAAACAATTACCTGAAATAAATTTATTCAATTTTTTCAATTTGAATTCCCAGAAATAAAAACTTGCATAAGTTATAAATTTTTATTCAAAAAAAGAAAAAAAACACTGCACTAACAAAAATGAAATTTCACAAACACAACACTGTCACTTTTTCAAAAAAATGAATATTAAAAAAAAAGTAACAAAAATAAATTTACAAAAATGAAAATTTTGATGTCAGCAGAGGATTAGCGGCATGACAATTAAAAAAAAAAATTATTTAAGCTGAGAGGAGGACGAAGAAAAGATGCGCTGGCGGGATTCGACGTGAGACTGCCGGGGCTGAGCAAAGTTTAAAGCTGAAGAAGAGTATTACAGCTGCCTGAGTTCTCTCGTTCCTTTTCTTCTCTCACTCTTCACTCTTGCTCCGGCATGGATTGACGGCGTTCCCTCCTCATCCGACTCCAGGCCTCGTAATATAGTACCGTCTCTGTTCTTCCAGCCTCCAGAGTCCCTTCCCCCACGTACAGATCGCGGGTCCTACTCCTGTCAACGCTTGCATCTCTTCTCATTTATTATTATGTATTTATTTAGAATTAAACACGCACATATATTTACTTCATACCGGTAAATAATTAATTAGCCGATTTGTAGTCGTTAAAATTTGGTACCGATAAGAGTAATCGCCGGCTAATTGATTTCGCGAATAAAAAGCTCCTGAGAGATAACGATGTGTGCAAAGATACAGGACGGAATTAGTTAGTAAATTTTTTTATTATAATTCCTGAGAAATAAATTGTCAATTTTGGAGTGTTTTGTCATTTTTATTAATACACTTAGCAGTAAATTTTACGGGATGTTTATTTTGTTGATTTTTATTTATAATATTTTAGGCAATTTGAATTTTTTATTGCGTTTGTTTGATGTCTAGATTGATTTTGGTAAATATTTACAAGTAGCGTCAATTTTTTGAACGAAATTTCTATTTGACTTTGTTGATATATTTTTTTTAATGCATAAAAAAATGAACAATTTAAAAAAAATTTTAACAAATTAATAAATATTTTAGAAAATTGTGATATTCAACTTTTTTTTTAAATTGTTCGTTTTTTTGATTTCAAAAACATTAAAAAAAGATAGAATGGAAATTTTATCCAAAAACATGAGCCAAAATTTTTTCCAACTTTGAAAAAATTTGAAAAATTTGAAAATGTCAATTTTTCACCTAATTATGGCCCAAAATTAGGTTGACCCCATTTGTAAATTACTACCTTGATATTGATTTAATTGATGAAAAAAAAACTCAAAAAATTGACTTGGTCGGAATTCGAACTTAGACTTTCTAAGTAGAAAGTCTAATCCATTTTTCTCTGGGTCCATAACCTGTAGAAGGAATTAATTTATAAAAACAAATTTTTTTTATTAATAAAATTTTGAAAATATAATAAAGTTTTTAATGTAATAGATATATTGATTATTTTGTAATTTTTGATGCATTGAGTGATGGATCAGGTTAGTTGATTAAAATTAGTTGTTAAAAAATAAAAAATTTTGAGAATACTAGATCTTCCGGCGGATATTTATGGAAAATGTAAATAAAGTAATTGAGATTAATTTGGGAGTTAAAAATTGCCTGGTAAAATACTAGATTGGAGAATTCTTGAGGGTCATTTCTATTTTAAATAACTACTAAGTATTTTTATGTTATTTCAGTATTTATCTAGTTTATATTTAATAGTTGTATAAATAGACGTTTTGTGCTCGACGTAATATTTAAATGCGCGTTTAGTTAATATTAATATTTGTTAATATTTGATATTTTGTGTTTGCCTAGTCATTTAGTAACAAATATTTGGCTTTGTCGTGAAAAATATGTATTTCATCTCGGAGAATCAATTAGAATTATTCATGCGGGACGTGATGACAAATAAGAGATATAATTATTAATGAGGCCGAAGACGCGAGATGCAGGACTGGGTATCTGTAAAAATAATTGTACGATAGAAAAGAGATAATAATAATAATAATGGTTGTGTATAGTTGTAATTGTTATTATGAGAGGGACTATCTCAACTGTTACTGTAATTCTAATCATTAAATGGAATATTGTCAATAATAGCGTATCTGTGTCTTCTCAAGTATTACTACTCGTCAAACTCATCATTTTAATCATCGTAATCATACATGTATGACAATTCGCTATTAACTTTTTTTTTCTTTACTAGTGCTAATAAATGACCGCAATTCTTTTTTTTTTTTAATAACATTTTTAATATAAAAATTTATTAATTTTTTCTTTTTAATTAAAGTAAAAAATTTAGTTAAAATTAATTTTTTAATAATAATAACAATAATAAATTTTAAAATATAAGTTATTATTATAATTATTAGTATTATTATTTAAAAATTAATTTTAACGAAATTAAAAAACTTTTTTTTAAGTCCAATAATTTTTTTTTAACTCTAAAATATTAACTTTAAAAATAAAGTACCTACTTTTATACGTAAAATAAGTAATATTTAACAAAACGTTGATCGCAGCGGCTATGATATCTCTCGGGAATCGGATACCCTAAAAAAGTGTGTGAAGAAAAAAGTAAATTTCGTGGAGGTCTTGATCTTCTTAAAGTGTTATTAGTTGTTATTAATTACCAGGAATAACTTACGAGCGATGAGCCGAGAAGATACATACATATTGACTTGTTTAGCCGAGTTATTTGTTATAAATGTAATGTGACACAATTTAGGCGGCTATGGTCACAACAAGTTGCAATGGATGCAGAAATTGAGATAAATAGTCACTACAAGTGGGTCAGGGGTGGTCACCGACATCATAGATACATCAACCGGAAATTTATCTAAAAAAAATATGAGACAACAAAAGATTATTCGTATTATCGACTAATTAAATATTTCTTACATATTACTCAGCTTAATTTTATTCTTCCTTTAATGTAAAAAAATTGTAATTTAATCCGGTCACTTACTTTAATCCTCGATTATTTTCGAGCGTCTGATTCCACCCAAAACCGGATGGAATTTTTTAACGCAACATTTTTTAATCTGATATTATTTCTACGGAAAATTAATTTAAAAACTAGCAACCTTGCAGTCACTATGTGATTGCCGTGACTTGTGAACTATAAATAAATTAAATTTTTCTTTATAAAATAATGACTTTTGTTAAATTGCCTTAGACTTATTAAACTACTGACGTTTTTAAAGATATAAGCTCATCCTGATGTTACACTTATCAAGAGTTTTCATTCGAGTTACCCACATGCATTTTTTATATATTTTTCATATATATACATATATATATATATGAAAAAGGAAAGGTCTCGATGAGTAATGTCGGGATGAGCTTATATCTTTAAAAATGTCAATAGTTCACAAGAGATTTCGGCTGCCCAATTTTAAAACACAGTAACTGCAAAATTTTTTTTTAATATTGCTGGATTTTTTATAACTTTTAGACCTTAATTTCAAGTATTTTTTCTTAAAAATATTCATATTCAAGTATATTCTATTCATAAATCAAATTTTTCATCAATTTGGCAGGCAAACTTTTTTTTAATAAAAAAAATTTTAAAAAATTTCTAAATGTTAGTTACTGTGTTTTGAAATTGTGCAGCCGATTTGTCAAAATGCCCTGTACTTTCTTAACTATTGACATTTTGGAAGACATAAGCTCATCTTAAGGTTACACTCATCAAGAGCTTTCATTTGAGTACCCGTCTGCATTTTGATATATACATATATATATATAAATATATGAAAAAATGATGTGGGTAATAAAATGAACGGATATGATGATTGTAACATCAGGATGAGCTTATATCTTTAAAAATGTCAATAGTTCACAAGATACAAGGTCATTTCTTAATTATGTATCTACAGATAGAACATTTTCGAATGCAGCCCGAATTCTCATCATCATAAATTGACTATTGGTGAGAATGATATGAAAACCATGTTTTTAAAAGGCACAACTCCAGGTCAAGTACTTTTTCTATATATTTAAAGTCTAAAAATAATTTTAAAAATAGGCAATAAAAAAATTATTGACTATTAAAATTCTCATAAAAATATAGTTTCTCAATAAAGAGAAATTTTATACAATTCAATTAAAATATAATTATAATTATCTAAATTTTTAAATGGTAAAGCGTCTTAATTATTAGTTTTGATATTAACTATTGATATTTTATCATTCATTTCATTGATTAGACACTTGATATCAACAATTTATAGCGATTTGATATTTTAAATTCACAAAAAAATTTTAATTTAATTTATTATACAATTTATGACCAAAAAAAATAATTATCATTTTTTTTTTCAACAAGTAGAAATATTATTATTAATATTATTATTAAATGGATGGAATAAGATTCATCAGATCAGTAAAATCTATTTGATTATAATAATAATTTTAGATATTCTTACACCAGCATTAATTGATAAAATAATTACTGCTAGTACAATTAAAAAAAAAATAAAAATTATCGACAAGTGTGTAGTAAAAAAAATCTAAAACTAGGTACAGTAAGTTTTAAATAAAATTAAAAACTAATTAATTGGCACTGTAATACTCTAATTAAATCAGTTTGTCTAAAAATAAATCATTATTTTTTTTTGTATTGCAAATCAAGTTGAAATAGACCGATTAAAGGTTTTTGCTAGGGCCGGAAGCTCGCTGGTCCTCCATGCGCTCGGCCTGGAGTCTCTGGATCAGCGCGAACAAGTCTTCCTCCGGGACGGTGGTGCCTGCGGGCGCGTGAGTGTTTCCGTTGGATCTTTGGTTAGGCTCCTCTTCTGCGTCCTGGACCGCGTTCGCGGGCAAAGGGCTTCTCTGATCTTCCAGCCGCGAGCCCTGACAGCGCAGCAACATGTCGATAAACGAGTCATCTGCGTCCTGCGGAGTTCTTACTGGAGTTTTCATCACGGCTTGCGTTTTTGGAGTCGTGTTGAGACCTGGTAAATTTGGAAGCACTACTCTTTGCTCATCCATTCGTTTGCTCTGCATACCTGCGATTAATTCTAGTAGATCATCTCCTTCTCTGTAATAATAATAATTATTATTATTAATTATTTCTCAACTTTAATTATTATAAAGTTAATATTTTATCTTAATTATTATTATTACCAACTGACCTAATTAAACTTATATTCAGAAAATTTTATTTTTCTAATTATTTGAAAAATTTTTAAATCTACTTTTTTTTTTTTTTTTTAAATAATTAAAATAAATTATCAGCCTAATTTTGGAAATTTAATTTTTTTTCAACTCAACAATTAATAAAAAAAATTAATAATAATAACCAGTAACTTTACAGTCACTATGTGACTGCCGTGACTGGTGAACTATAAATAAATAAAATTTTTTTTTATTAAATAATGACTTTTGATAAATTACACTGTACTTTTTTAAATATTGACGTTTTTAAAGATATAAACTCATCCCGATGTTACATTCATCAAGAGCTTTCATTTGAGTACCAACATGCATTTTGATATATTTTTCATATATACATATATATAAATATATGAAAAATTGATGTGGGTACTTAAATGAAAGGTATTGATGAGTGTAACATCGGGATGATCTTATATCTTTAAAAATCTCAATACTTCACAAGATACAAGGTAATTTCTTAATTATGTATCTAGAGATAGAGCATTTTTGAATGCAGCCTAAATACTTGTCATAAGAAATTGACTATCGGTGAGAATAATATAAAACCTTGAAAAGGCACAAATTCAAATCAAGACACTAAATTTCACTAAAAAAAAAACCGATTTTATCATACGATTATTCTGGACACAAATTTTTTCTTATTCTCTTAATAATATAAATTAGAAAAATAAATTTTCAGCCTAATTTTGAAAATTTAATTTTTTTCCAACTCGATAAAAATTAACAAAAAAAAAAAAAAAATAATGAGTCTGCTATTTCCAGACCAATAAAAGAAAAAAAAAATTTACTTTTCTTTTTCAATAGTCGGTGGCTTGATCCGTGGTTTTTTATTGATATCAAGTACGCAGCGTTGATCATCCATTCTTCCTGATTGAAACCGCGATAATAGCTCAAAGAAGTCTTCTTCTTCATCTTCTTGTGACGGCTGAGGCGCAATACCCGCTCTTGCTGGTGGTAATTCTTTTTGTTTGCCATCTGGAGTCAACTAAAACCAAAAAAAAATTAATTCAACAATTTTAATCGATAACTTATATAAAAATATTATTAATATAAATACACCTTCAAAAAAATTGTTTAAATTACCAAAAAAAAAAATTACCTTAATTAAATCAAGATTATCCATACTCTGTCGCCTCAACCGATACCTTCCCGGAGAAGTCCCAGCATTAATTGGCACATTATTAACCACCGGATTATTATTCCCTTTGTCATTTTCCTTCTCATTATTCTCCATGCCCAAGATCTTCTGGAGATCAGCAACATTCATCTGGGCCGTGGCCTGTCCCATGGGATCACCGAGTTCCTTCGAGATGCTCAAATGCAAGGTAGCAAAATGAAGAGCTTTCTCGTGATTGAACATGGCTGAATAAGCGTTACCAAGTGACCAGCAGGCGCGTCCCTCGCCCACGCGATCCATCAATTGCTGAGCAATAACAAGGTGACGTAAGTGATACTCAATGGCCGTCGGATAGTCTCTGAGCAGCGTGTAAGTATTTCCAAGAGAATAGCAAGCCTGAGCCTCGACCGCGCGATCCCCCAGCTCCTGAGCCAGCACCAGTGTGCGTTTATAATGCTGCGCTGCTTTTTCAAACTCTCCTAAAAATATGTGGGAGTTTCCGAGGTTGCTATTCGCGCGTCTCTCCGCCGCTTTGTCTCCGAACTCCCTCGCGATTTTCAGCCTCTCGTTGTGGTAGTGGATCGCCTTCTGGAACTCTCCTAGGAGGTAAAAAGTGTTACCGAGATTTCCACAAGCGCGCCCTTGAGCCGCTGAGTCTCCCAACTCGCGCATCAGCGCCAGGTTCTCTTCGTAGTACCCCACAGCTTGTTGGAGGCACTGTTTTATGTCCTCGGAAAATTCTCCGGGATCGTGGTGGCCACGACCACCCTGCTTCCCTTTCGCGTGGTAGACGTTCCCCAGGTTGTAAAGAGCGCGACCTTCGCTCTGCTTGTCCCCGATCTCTCGGGAGATCTCCAGGTGTCTTTTGCAGCAGATCATCGCTTCGTCGAACTTTCCCATGACTTTCAAGGTGTTGCCCAGGTTACCGCTGGACTTTGCTTCTCCCAGCTTGTCGTTCATTGTTCTGGCTAGGGTCAAATCGTGCTTGTGGTACTGCATCGCTTTGACGTAGTCTCCGAGGTAGAAGTATGCGTTTCCAAGCTGACTGTAGATTGCGCTCAGTGTTCGTAAATCGTCAGTACCGGCTTGGATTGCTGCCTGAAAAAATGCTACCCCTGATCGGCAATCTCCAGCTTTGCATAAGCGCTCCCCTTCCAATGCTAGCTCCAAACACATGTTGCTGTCACTGCTGCCGTTCTGGAAATTAATGGAGTTGATAAATATTTTTTTTTAAATAACTTTAATATTATTTAGTTAAAAAAAATTTAGAGTAAAAAAAATTTTATTGAACATTTTTTAAAAGTAAAATTTTATAAAAATTAACTGAAAATTTTTTTGGAGTAAAATTTAAAAAATTTATTTGAAAAAATAAAAAATTAAGTAAATTAATATTTTTAATTATTGTTTATTAATTTTATAAAAAAAAATGTCAAAAATTTAAAGAAGAAATAAATAAATGAAAATATACTTACTTGATTATCAGCTGTCATATCAGTATTTTCTTCAGACATTTCTATAATAAATTTTATTTATATTTCCAAACAATAATTATTAATAAATAACTTTACAAACAACCACTTAACCTCACTCGGCATCAAAAATAATTTCTTAAAACAATTATTGATCTGTCAGCTCCAATACACATTTTTTAAAACAACAGCAACAATTAATAAAAATAATTACAACAATGTTTAAAATGATAATGATAATTCATTGAGCGTTTTTTTTTCATTAATTAAAGGCGCGTCATCTGGCGTCATTCCGAGTTCGACAGAACCAAGTGCTTCAAACAAGAGTTGACTCATACACCCTCATATTTTTTATTCTTACACACACATATATAGAAGTAATTTGTAAATACACTCGTTACTTGTTACTTGTTACTTGTGTGTGGAGGGTAATGAGTAACAGACTTTAACAGACACACACCCGGTTGGGTTGATTTCCAACAAACTGCTGTCGTGGAAACTTGAAAACTCCCGCCAGATGTCAGCTGAGATCAAGAGTTGGAATTAAGCTGAGTAGAGGCCGGTCCAATCGCACAGAATCTTTTTACGTGACTGCTCGTCAGATTTTTTCAATAAAAATTATTGATAAATATTTATCAATTGTTTATTATTTAAACAAATTCAGTGAGAAATGGCGCCAAATGCTGTACCTCAAGAAAAATTAGAAAAACCCTCCAGGGGTATCAATGCTGTTTTACTTGGCCCACCTGGTAGTGGAAAAGGAACACAGGTATGACCTATGAACTTTTATTATTTTATAATTTTTACTCTTATTATTATCACTTGATCTTTGCTAATTGATTGTTAAAATTGTTATTATTATTGATTAGATTTTTTGCCAGCCATTGATTTCTTCAAAAGGATTTGATTATGCTAAATGTATTTTGAGGTTCTATGGTATAGAGATTCTGAAAACTAGTTTTTGAAAAATGGTTGAACCAGTTTTGTTGCAAAAATTATAAATTTTTAGAGTACACAACATTTTTTTAGAATTTTTAGAAGAGCAAATTTTTAATTAATAAAAAAATAAATTATTTATGATACTGAAATTATCTTTAAGATTTTTTTTTAACAAGTAAATTTTGAGAGAAAAAAATTTAAGAATAATTTCACCTGTCAAAATTAATTAAAATTAAAAAAAAAAAACTAATTTTTAACTCTAGTTTATTTATTAAAAAATTATCAAGTGTTTGTTGATAACAGCATCATGATTATTTAATATCTATTTTTATTATCAGTTATGTAAAACATTGATTATTTAAAAATCTTTAAATCATAAAGATATATATTTAAATTTTATTTTTTTATTTATAAAGTAATTCTATTAGTTGAAAAAAAAATTTTTTTAATTAAAATAATATTAAATAAAAAGAATAATACAAAAAAAAATTTTTTTTATAATTTAAATTAATAGCTGGTAAAAATTAAAATCATGATTAATTATTTTCTGATAAAAATAATAATTTTCAGGCTCCATTATTCAAAGAGAGATACTGCGTGTGTCACTTATCAACTGGGGACATGCTGCGAGCAGAAATAGAATCTGGATCAAAGCTTGGCGCCGAATTGAAGAAAATAATGGACGAGGGCAAGCTCGTCAGCGACGACCTGGTTGTCAACATGATCGATAGTAACTTAAACAAACCAGAATGCAAGCGCGGATTTCTCTTGGACGGATTTCCAAGGAGCGTTCCTCAGGCGGAGAAGCTCGACGAGATGCTCCAGAAGCGGAAAACTAAGCTTGACGCTGTCATCGAGTTCGGAATCGATGATAACTTGCTGGTGAAGCGAATCTCGGGGAGGTTGCTCCACCAACCCAGCGGTAGGACTTATCACGAGGAGTTTGCGCCTCCAAAGGTCCCAATGAAGGATGACATTACCGGTGAGCCGCTGACCAGGAGGTCTGACGACAACGCTGAAGCCCTCAAGAAGAGACTGGTCACTTACCACACTCAGACCCAGCCGCTCGTGGACTACTATGCCCTTCAGGGAATCCACAATTACGTAAATGCTGCTAAGTCCAGTGAGCAAGTCTTCAAGGACATTGACAGTATTTTTATGAAAGCCATTAAGCATGATTCGAGCAAAGGGTTCTTCAGTAGATTCTTTTAAATGTCTGAGGACATTTTTGTTTCTTGACCTTGGTAATTTCGTTCAGTCTTATTACTAATTGCTTTGGTAAATATTTACAAGTGGGTCAAAGATTTTAATTTTCGTTTTTTTGAACTAAATTTCTATTTGATTTTATTGATGTATTTTTTTTTTAATGCATAAAAAATAAACAATGAAAAAAAAAAAGTTGATCACAATTTTAACAAATTCAAAAAAATTTATAAATTTTTTAGAAAATTGTGATATTTAACTTTTTTTTTATTGCTCATTTTTTTATGTACTTTTCAAAAAAAAATAAATCAAAAAAAGGTAAAATAGAAATTTTATCCAAAAACATGAGAGCCAAAATTTTTTCCAACTTTTAAAGGCAAAAAAGCTATCGAAATCTTTATTTTTTTCTTTCACGACATTTTTTATCATAAATGCGCCGTAAAAACAAGCAGAATCAAAAAAAAATTTGAAAATGTAAATAATTACAATTGCTTTTTTTTTGTTATTATTTTTGGGTGAAAAAATTATTCTGACATCTGAAAAATTTTTTTAATTAATTCTGAGTGAAAATTTTTTTTTTACTTCAAAGTAAAATTTGAAAAATAAAATTGAAATTATATATATTAAAAAAAAAAAAAGGTCAAGTTACAGTAGAATAATTGTTATCAGACTTAAAAGTAAAAAAAAAAGAATATTTTTCTTGTTGAAAGTAGTTGTAAGATGTCTAAATATTATATATTTACAGTCAGGGCTTTTAATAAATCTTCAAGGTGATTGATTTTATTAGCAAGTTAATAATAACAATAGTAATTGATGATAACTTCCAATTTAAACTACTTCAATAAAACAAACAACGTCTAAATTTATAGAATGCCAGTTAGTGTCATATTAACTCGATAAAAAGCACTAATAGAACACCATTTATTTACTCGATATTTTTTACAAAACTAAATATTTTTTCATTGCAAACTGTTTAAATATTTGCGCACACAATCTTTTACATAACTCCTTTATCAGTGCAATTAAAATGTATCAATTAAACCAATTAATAAATAACTGCCGCTTGCTCTAACATTAATCGTTGGCTGTAGAAAAACAAAACGAATATATATTTAAATAGTTAATAAATCAAGATAAACCGAAATGATAACTTAAAAAAAAAAAATCCAAGTTATCACTTGATATAAATGCTCTAGATGCCTAATGTAAATATTACAGAATATTTTAGATAATAATAATAAACAAAACAATTTAACGAAAAATTGAAAACCTAGATTAGAACTAGAGTTTATTCTTTGTCAACATTTCTGCTATGCAGATCATTGTAACGAATGAGAGTGAGTTAACTAATAAAAATTAATTAAACTAAACCATTTTTTTAATTTATAATACTGATAGCAAATTTTTTAAACATAATTGCTATTTTTATAAAAAAATAAATTTTTTATATAAAAAAAAAATTTTTCATATAAAAATTTTTTATATAAAAAATTACATAACAATTGCGTAATTTCAGAGTTCAATTAAATTTTCTTAACAAATATCTAACATTATATATAATTTCAGTGACCGGTAACCCGCAGCTTCATGCAAACTCGCCTTTGGAGCGTTATCATGACAACGTTGATGGCGCTTATAAAAACAAACCACCTGTGCAGTGTCCAAACAAGTTCACCTGGCAACCTGATTTCTCTTTTCAACAATCAATTGACATAAAAATAAAAATAATGTGCGACAAAAATTAACACTCAACAAGTGGACCAAAAAAGCGTAAGCAAAAATGTTTGTCTACCTAAGTAAAAAAATAGCAATACCAAATAACTACCGTCTGAATTGCATTGCCTGGAGCCAGCGTCACGGGTACATAGCAGTGGGAGGCGAAGATGGCCTGCTAAAAGTCCTGAGAGTGGACGCGAGTCCGGGTAGCGGAAATGCCAAGTCCAGATCGCTGGCAGGGACGAGCAACCTGAGCATGAACCAGAGCCTAGAGGGGCACAACGGACACGTCCAGGTGGTCACCTGGAACGAAGAGTACCAGAAGCTGACCTCCAGCGACCAAAATGGCGTGATAATCGTCTGGATGCTGTACAAAGGCTCCTGGTACGAAGAGATGATCAACAACCGGAACAAGTCCGTGGTGAAAGGCATGTCCTGGAGCATCGACGGCCAGAAAATCTGCATCGTCTACGAGGACGGCGCGGTGATCGTCGGTGCGGTCGACGGGAACCGGATTTGGGGCAAGGAGCTGAAAAACACCTGGCTGTCCGCGGTACAATGGTCGCCGGACAGCAAGCTGCTGCTCTTTGGTCTAAAAAGCGGCGCTGTTCACCTTTACGACAACCAGGGAGTCTTCCTGACCAACATCCAGATGAACCTGCCCGCCAGTCCGCAGTCAATCGTCGCCATCCACTGGTACAACGGGAAATTCGGGTACACTGCGGTTGACTGCCCCAGTTTGGCGATTTGCTACGAAAGCGGGCGCTTGCAGCTGATGCGAGACGCTGCGGACAGCGAGCCGATCATCGTTGAAACTGGAATCACCAATGTTTGGTGTTCCTGGAACACTTACGGGTCGATCCTAGCCGTGGTTGGCATCCAGTCGACCATAATGAGCAACGAGGCTAAAGATAATAACGTAATTCAATTTTACAGCGCCTTCGGGAGACTGCTGAGGACTCTGAAGGTTCCTGGCAGGGAAATAACCTCTTGTTCCTGGGAAGGAGGCTCTCTGAGAGTCGCTCTGGCCGTCGACTCTCACATCTACTTCGCGAACATCCGTCCTAAGTACAAGTGGACCTACTTCAGTAACACAGTAGCCTTTACCAACGAGAAGGTCACCAAGGACGGGACTTGTGTCACCTTTTGGAACACCAGCAGCAACACCTCTTGCACCAAGTACGTCAGTTCTTTGATTTCAGTCGCTTCTTCGGGGGAGCACTGCTGCCTGGCGGTCAGGAACGACCCGTCGGTCAACGAGCAGTTTGCTTTGTTAGTTTGCAACACCATTGCAACGACAATTGACATCAAGCACCTGGACCTGGAGCCGATCTGGATGTGCATGATCAATTCCTCGGTGATCGTCGCTTCCAAGAACAATTTCTTGATCTGGAACTTCAGGACCCCGAGGACTGTGGGACAATCCAAGGTCAGGCGGGATAAGATCTATCATGTTGATGATACTCCGACTGGAGTCACCGAGGTGATCTACGACCTGGACCGCGACAGGAGTTACGAGACTCCTATCAACACCAAGGCGACCATGGACCCCATCAGCTGTCTAGCAGCGACTGAGAAGATTCTGCTGGTTGCTAGAGAGTCCGGGATGATTCAGAGGTATTCTCTGCCTCATGTCACTTTGACTAATCGCTATACCGCTTCTTCAAAGCCCGCGTATCTCGCGATCAATTGCAACTCCACCAGAGCTTCGATTATTGACAGCAATGGAATTCTCACCATGTTGGACCTGGAGCATAAGAAGGAACCAGAGAGCGAGGAGGTGGGCAAGTTTGAACGGAAAGACGTCTGGGACATGTGCTGGGCTCAGGACAATCCTTCCTTGCTGGCGATCATGGAGAAAGCCAGGATGTACGTTCTCAGAGGCCTGGACCCAGAGGAGCCAATAACCTGCTCCGGGTACATTTGTTCTTTTCAAGAGCTGGAGATCAGGTGTGTCCTGTTGGACGAATTGATGGCCAAGCCTGAGGATAACAAGTTGGATTTGATTGTCGACCTGGAAGTTAAGTCTCTTAGAGACACCAAGGAGCTGCTGACCAAAGTAGGACTCAAAGAAGCTCACGATTTTATTCTAGACAATCCTCATCCCCGGCTTTGGCGCCTACTTGCTGAGTCAGCGTTAAAAGAACGAGATTTGGAGGCTGCTGAAAATGCTATGGTGAGGTGCACAGATTACCTGGGGATTCAGTTTATCAAGCGGCTCCAAGCGATACACAATGACCAGTTAAAACGCGCGGAAGTCGCCGCCTTTTTGGGTAACTATGATGAAGCGGAAAAATTGTATCTTGATTTGGATAGAAGAGATCTTGCGATATCTTTGAGGCAGAAATTGGGGGACTATTTTCGCGTGTTGCAACTCATGAAAATGGGACTAGCTGGGACTGACAAGCAGCTGGAGCAGGCGTATAATAAGATTGGAGATCATTTTGCGGAGAGGCAGAATTGGGAGAGCGCTAAGGAGTATTATGAGAAGGCCAGGAATATTGACCAGTTGATACAGTGTTATTATAAGCTTGAAAGCTATGACTTGCTGGCGGGGACTGTTGAACAGTTGCCTGATAAGTCGCCGGTTTTGAAGACTGTCGCCAGGATGCTGGCTTCTATGGGAATGTGTCAGCAGGCTGTGGAGGCGTATATTAAATATGGGGATGTCAAGCAAGCGGTGGACACTTGTGTGAGACTGAATCATTGGGACCAGGCGGTGGATTTGGCGAAGACTTACAAGATGGCCCAGATCAATGATTTGCTGAATAAATACGCGAGTCATTTGCTGGTTAATGGAAAAAGGCTGCAAGCGATTGAACTTTACAAAAGCGCGAATTGCTTCTTGGAGGCTGCGAAATTGCTGGTGAGTCTCGCGGACCAGCAGGCCAAGACTCGCGCTAATCCATTGAGGGTGAAAAAATTGTATGTCCTGTCAGCTTTGCTGATTGAAGATCATATTAACAGCAGAACGGTGAAGAAAGGCGCGAGAAGCAATGTCATGATGGGGCTCAGCGAGAGCAATGAAGATGCTAGGGTCATTGAAAATGCCTGGAGAGGCGCCGAGGCCTACCATTTTCTCCTGATGGCCAATCGGCAAATTTACGCGGGTGATACTGACGCTGCGATGAAAACTGCCTTGAGGCTGAGGGAGTATGAAGATATTTTGGAGTGCGAGGACATTTATTGTCTTCTCGCGCTGGCTAGCGCGAACAACAAGGCTTTTGCGACCTGCTCCAAGGCTTTTATCAAGCTGGAGGGATTGGAGAAGATTTCCGAGAGCAAAAGGGAGGAGTATGAAGAACTTGCTTTGCAGATTTTTATTAATCATCCTCCGAAGGACGGCAAGGCTAGTAAGGCTGAGTGTGTTAATTGTGAGACACTCGTTCCTGATTGGTGTGTAGCTTGTCCTAATTGTGCGACAAGATTCCCGGCGTGTGTCGTGACTGGGAAACCGCTGATGGATTTGACTACGGCGTGGATTTGTACCACCTGCAGGCATCACGCTACTTCCGAGAGGGATGTGGTTAATATTAATGCATGCCCTCTTTGTCATAGTATTATTACGTATATGTAGAAAAGGTAAGTTCTTTTTATTAAGGTGATTGGTGGAGGATTTTGAGAGACAGTTTTAGTTAGTATTAATATAGAGAAGAAAATTTTTTAATTTTTGAGTAAGTTCAGTTGATGAAATCAAAATAATTTAATTTTTATTGGTTTTAAAATAAGTATTTTGTGATTGTATCCGTCCAATATTAATAAATAATATACATTTATATTTATTAAAAATTTTTTGGAGTTATTTAATTAAATTTTTATTATTTTTATGACTTTAATAAAGCATTAATCTGAGAAATATTAAAAAAAAATTTTTTTTTTTAGTTTCGATACTTGGAATTCTTATTTCAAATTTTAATAATAATAATATATATCATTAAAAGAATAAGAAAAATTTTGTCTTCAGGATAGTCATATGATAAAATCGGTTTTTTAGTGAAATTTAGTGTCATTGCAAAGATCTTGGTTTGAATTAGTGCCTTTTCAAGGTTTTATTTCATTCTCACCGATATTCAATTTATATGATATGATAAGTATTTAGACTGCGTTCGAAAATGCTCTATCCGTAGATACATAATTAAGAAATGACCTTGTATCTTGTGAACTATTGACATTTTTAAAGATATAAGCTCATCCCGATGTTACACTCATCAAAACCTTTCATTTGAGTACCCACATCAATTTTTCATGTATTTACATATTATATATATATATGTATATATGAAAAATATATCAAAAATGCATGTGGGTACTCAAACGAAAGCTTTTTATGAGTGTAACATCAGGATGAGCTTATATCTTTAAAAATGTCAATAGTTAAAAAAATACAGTGCAATTTAACAAAAGTCATTATTTCATAAAGCAAAATTTTATTTATTTATAGTTCACAAGTCACGAGAATCATATGGTGACTGCAAGGTTGCTAGTAATCATAAATTTTTAAAAATTATTATTATTATTTAATTGATTATTCTGAAGATTTTAAAATGATTTTTATCCCAAAAGTATTCTTAAAAAATTTTTTTTTTGCATCTTTAATGTTTCACTAATAATTTAAATAATAATAAAAATTTTAAACTAAGTCATTATTATTATTATTATTATTACAACTTTTGTTATTTTTTTTAAACAAGTATGTACTTTAAGACTAAAAATAAAATTAAACCTCAGAATGTAACAACAAAAACTTAGTAATGTATTTCAAAAGAGTTCGACGGTTATCAAAAGACTGAAGTTCTCCGTATCGCTTCAAAAATGAGAAATATCGATTACAGCCATGCGGGACGACAACAAAGAGTATTTTAAAACTATAAATGATGCTCTTTGATAGTAACAAGTCTTTGTATTTCTGACATTAGATCAATAAGAATAATAAATTCGCTAATGTCTTTTCTCTCTGAAAATTCAACAACAAAAGCCGAGTTTCCATTTATCATCAATCATCACCATCAAACGTAAGATATTTTCAACTAACAAGGATGGTATTTTTCAACAACCCTGACTGGCGAATGGGGAAGCTCCTGCTCTGTTCTTTTGGTGCCTGGCCGTCTCAGTCTTATCGAACTCGTCGATTTCTCAGCATTTCTACTATTTTCATCGTCCAGAGTATTTTTGTTCTCGAGGTTTTATTTATCTGTTCATTAATTTAACTTTGCATATTTTTTACAAATATCTATTAATACAAAATGTATTAAAAAAATTAGATAATTAAATTGGTGACAGTCTGGAATAGTATAGAAATGGTAACAGAATGCCTTCCTATGTTGTCGCTGCACATTGTCGCTAATATAAAAATGTCTAATTGTTTAATTAATTTAAAAAAGGTGAGTATTTATTGAAATTTAATTATTATTGTTATTTATTAGTAGATTTTTTGTTATTTTCTTTTATTAATAAGACTAATATAGATAAAAGTATTACTCAACCACATCGAAAGTGATTATCAGTCAGATTTATCAAAATCTGAAGTACGGACCCTTTTACAAGACAGACATTTTCATAAAAAAATAATAACTGTATACGTAAGTAAGTATTTTTATAATTAATTTATCTAAATTATATTTATACACTGTAAAAAAATCGGGATTTTTATTTTTTTTTTCTGCTTTAAAAATTAAACATTTAAAAAATTATTTAATTTAGTCAATAAAAAAAATCAATAAGTTTTTTTTTTAATTAAAAATATGATTAAAATTTTTTTTTTTTAATTTTTTGGTAAATATTTACAAGTGGGGTCAATTATTTTAATTTTCATTTTTTTGAACGATATTTCTATTTGATTTTATTGATATATTTTTTTTTTAAATACATAAAAAAATGAACAATTTAAAAAAAAATTGATTATCATAGTTTTAACAAATTTTACAAATTTTCAAAAAAATTTATAAATTTTTTAGAAAATTGTGCTATTCAACTTTTTTTTTTAATTGTTCGTTTTTTTATGTACTTTTCAAAAAAAAAAAAAAAAAAAATAAATCAAAAACATCAAAAAAAGATAAAATAGAAATTTTATCCAAAAACATGAGAGCCAAAATTTTTTCCAACTTCTGAAGGCAAAAAGCTATCGAAATCTGTATTTTTTCTTTCACGACATTTTCTATCATAAATGGGCCGTAAAAACAAGCAGAATCAAAGAAAAGTTTGAAAATGTTAATTTTCCACCTAGTTATGGCCAAAAATAGGGTGGACCCTACTTGTAAATAATTACCATTTTTTTACAGTGTAAAAAAATTTTTTTCATGACCTACAATTTTATTAACATTGTTAAAAAAGTTTACATTTACGCAATCGCTGGAGCATTTGCCGCAATACCAGCAATCACAAAACTTTTGGATATTTTAGTGCCACTAAATGAGTCCCGACCGAAGCAGTTTTTTTATCAAGCCGAATATTTTGTCAATCAGGATGAATTTTCGACGTTTATTTACATTCACGGTTATCTGACACTGCCATTTCCGATGACTATTTGTGTTGCTTACGACTTTCTTTACTCAGCTTACGGTCATCATGTCTGCAGTATGTTCAAAATTACTGGGTAAAGACCGAATTTCAAGTCCAAAAAATTTTACTTTCTACCAAAATTGATTTTTTTTTGTAATTTTCCAGCAAGGTTAAATAATAAAATTCGTAATTATAATTATATAAATAATAGTAATAAATTAATTCCAGAGATCGTTTAAAAAATATTGATAATATTTCTTTGGCCGAAGGAGAAAATTTTTTTAAAAATTCTGACCAACAAGACAAAATTTATAAATCATTGATCGAATGCATTAAAATGCAAAAATTAATCCTAAGGTTTGTTATTATTATTTTTCAATAATAAAAAAAAAATTAATTATTTAATTTTTTAGTTACATTGATTGTTACGAACGGATTTTTTCTATAAGTTTATTCCTAGTAGTAGGAGTTAACATGTTTTCTTTGTGCTTCACAAGCTTGCAGGTAAAAAATTTCAGTTGCACGCTTGAAATAATCTTTACTTTAATAAAATTGTAAATTATAAATAATTTATAGAGTTTAATAATAATAAATCAAGTAAGCGACGCTTTTTCATACATGTTTTACGGTTTTGGAGAACTGGTTCATTTATTCCTCCTGAATTACCAAGGCCAAAATATAATAAATCACAGCGAAAATTTTTATAACTCTGCGTAAATATTATCAAACCTTTAAATAAACAATAAAATTTATTTTTAAGTATTTTAGGTTTCAAGCAAATTGGCATAATTTTTCACTGAAGTCTAAAAAACTTTACATTTTAATTATTATGAGAAGCTCCGATTTTGCGGCAATAAGGGCCGGAAAATTAATTGTCATGTCCTCTAGCAGTTTTAGCAGTGTAAGAAAAAAAATTTTCATTTAACAATAATAATAATTATTTTACACGAAATTTTGATTTTTGTAGATACTTAAAACTTCAGTGTCATACTTGATGGTTTTTAATTCCTTCCGATAATTAAAGTGGAAATTAAATCTTAGATATTAGATTAGTTAGTTTTATACCAATAAAATAAATGTAGCATTAATTTAATTTTTTTTTTATCATGAAGTCCATCAAATTTTTTTAAAATTTACTTTTTACGCTAAACTTTTATTCTATTATGTCAATGATTAAGAAATGACGTTGTATTTTGTCCACTGATGATATTTTTAACGATATAAACTCATCCTGAAGTTACACGTATCGAGATCTTTCATTTGAATACCCACACAAGTTTTTCCATATATTTTATTTATATAATATTTCTGATATTTGTGAAATATATAAAATATTTAAAAATTCGTATGAGTACTCAAATGAAAGGTCTCAATAAGTGTAACATGAGGATGAGCTTATATCTAAACAAATGTCAGTAATTAGAAAATGACGTTGTACTTTGTTTACTGATGATATTTTTGACGATATAAGCTCATCCTGGAGTTACACTTATCGAGATCTTTCATTTGAATACCTAGAAGAATTTTTTATATATTTCAAAAATATGAGAAATATCATATAAATAAAATATATGGAAAAACTTGTGTGGGTATTCAAATGAAAGGTGTCGATACGTGTAACTTCAGGATGAGCTTATAGCTTAAAAAATTTCAATAATTAAGAAATGACGTTGTATTTTGTCCACTGATGATATTTTTAACTATGTAAGCTCATCTTGATGTTACACTTATCGAGACTCTTCATTTGAATACTCACACGAATCTTTCATATATTACTTATATACTAGCTTTCACCCGCGGCTTCGCTCGCATGCTAGATGGTGTTGAAGTAGCTAGATTTTGAGATTTTTTGACAAACAATTTTTTTAATTTTCGTAAAAAATAAATTTTTTTTTTAATAAATAGTATCCTATGTTACTTCTAATACCTCCGAGAATATGTGTACAAAGTTTCATGATGATAGGTTGAATAGTTTTCGCGTGAAAGCGTAACAAACAAACTTACATTCACATTTATAATATTAGTAAAGTAATAGTAAAGTAAAGTAATAAGGATATTTCACAAACATGAGAAATATCATATACACAAAATCTTTTATTAAAAATAAGCTTATGCGACGTTATCATTGTTGTCGCTTTTTGTTGCTATGGTAACCACTTTGGCAACGGTTTAATATTAATGAATAAAATTTGTAAAAATATTGATAAATTAAATTGTCCATAATAAAAATGTTGGCAAAAGCGCGTTCAATTTTCTAGTATTTTTAAATTTTAATCACAAAATTATTTGACGTAAAAATTTTTACTGATATATCAATGACGCGAATATCACTCAAAAAAATAATTCACGAATTAAATATTCTGCAAGATAGAAAAATTATTTCTGACGTGGATATTCCTTCAATATTTCTCAGAACTCCAAGTCGCTTCTTTTCATACATTATTAATACCGATAACTATTTTGGTTACCGCCCACAACCTACTACCTACGAAACACTAAACGCAGAGACAAGAAAAGCCAAGAGAAAATTACAACCCTTCTTCTATAAACTAAAGCGTCTAATCCATTATTAACAAAATGACAATTTACTTTCTCGGAAATGATTTTTATTTTGACAATACTGCCATCGCTATCCGTCTATTAAAGTAATGACTGAGTAGAAGTCGACAAAGAAAATCACCAAAAGCTACGTGTCTTTTCTTACATTTAATATATTTCTGGCTGCCAATCAGAAAAGCTTTTTCCCTCCTATCACCCGCGAAATGTCGGCTTTGTCTTTCAACTTCGCTGTTCTGAAGTTCTGCGGACTCTGGAGACCCAGAGACTGGCCAGTCTGCTGGAAAACTCGTATCTACACAGCCTACACTTCGCTGATAGTCCTTCTGATTTTCTCCATGACTATCATGGAGTTCATCGATCTTGTACAGCATTTTTCTGACGCGGAAGATTTCACCAGCAGCGCGTTCATCATGCTGACGATGCTCTGCATTTGTGGAAAAGTCATCACCGTTTTGGGGTACCGCGATCGCATTATTCGGCTGCTTGATACCTTGAACAGTGATTATTTTGCGGTACACAGTGACCAGGACAAGGAAACTCGCGAATACTTCGATCAGTTAATCAAGTAATTAAAATATAATTAGTTAATTTTCATTTTCATTAGTATTTTTTAATCAGTAAAATTAATTCTTCAATATAGAATTTTTTTTTGTAACCCGTGCGAAAAAATTTTGAGTCGTGAATTTTTAATAAAGATTTTAAAACAAATAAAACTTCAAAATTAACGCATTAAATCATTTTTAATTTTCCTTTAAAAATGTATTTATCAATATTTTAATAAAATGCTGATTTAAAAAGATTTATTTAACTTCACCCAAAATCTTTATTAGATATTTCACTTCATTAATTTTGTATTAAAAAAAATTTCATGAAATTTGGGTCACTTTTTTTTTTTTTAATTAATGTTTGTAAGACAATTCAAACAATTTTATGCCAAAAAAGTTTTTTATAAATAAATAAATATTTTTTTAGGCATTATTTATTAATAATGTCTTTTCAGATTTCGAACAAAAATTTACGCAAGAATAACACAAGTTGGAATAGTTATGATTGTTGGAGGATCGATTGTGACTGAATTACCTCAAGGAATACTGCCCTACCATGCATGGTACCCAATAAATTTGACGACACGCACAAAATTGACGATTGCTTTCGCGCAGCAGCACTTTATCCACAGCATTGGGGCCATTATAAATATTTCTTACGACACATTGATTCCTGGAATAATGCTGGAGATTTGCGCGCAATTGGGACTGTTGAAGAACAGGTTCGAATTAGTCACCAAATTAGTTAAGGCTATGCGTGTTAATAAGGAAGAACTCAATGAGAATGTTGTTTTTGTCGAAACAAAAAATATTTCTCACTGCATTCGCCACCACCTTTTGATTTATGAGTGAGTCTTTGGAAAATTTTGGAGGAAGTATTTTTTTTTTTGATGAAAAAAACATTTATAATTTTTTTTTTCAGGTTTGTCGAAGAAGTAAACAAAGTTTTTGGGCCGCTGATTTTAATGCAGTACATGGCAAGTTCAATTGTTCTATGCGCCTGCGTTTTTAGATTGGCCGGTATGAGCCTGAGTGACCCGTTGTTTGTTTCTTTTTCGATGTACATTGCTGCTATGGGGTCCCAGATTTTTATTTTGTGCTACGCAGGGACGGATGTTACTGAAGAGGTTGTACAGTAAAAAATTTTCCGTTGTTGTGACAAAAAATGTTTGTGTTCGATTTTTTTACACACTGATAAAAAAATGAACTTGACTCAAGAGCCAAAATCTTGAACCAAACATACCATCTTGAAGAAAATGATTTTCTTGAGTCAAGAGAATCAGATCTTGAAACAAGAAAATTTTCTTAGACCGATAATAATTTCTTAACTCAAGAATTTATTAGAGAATAAATTAGTCAAAAGTGACTCAAGAAAATCATTTTCTTCAAAATGGTATTCTTGGTTCAAGATTTTGGTTCTTGAGTCAAGCTTATTTTTTTATCAGTGCAGTTTTTGGTTTAATTTTTACACAACAAACTTAAATTTAACACAAAAGTGATAAATTTAAACAAAAAATTTTTATTGTTGCAATAAATGAATAGTACAATGCGTTTCATTGATTCTTTACGGTCGGAAATTTTACAGAAAATGGAAACATCAAATTTTGGAAATCTGTGAGTAAGGAACTCAATAAATGAAAAATATGGAAAAATAAGATTTCAGAAATAATAAAAAAATGATGTGTCTTATTGAGGATACTTTGCAATATCGATTAGTTAAAAAATAGCAATGAAAAAATGTAGTAATCAAAATAATTAGAATTATTTTAAAAAAGATAAGCGTAAAATTATAAAATCAAAAAAAAAAAGATTTCCGTGAAATTAGACGCATCAGAATATAAACATCTAAAATGACTGATATTTAAAAAAAAAAAAAAGAATAAATTCAGACAAGTCGAAAAAAAGACAATTATAAATTTAAAAACATAAAAAAA